ACTGTTACTTGGCCATCCACAAAGAGGGCCGAATCGTGCAGTAGACATTCTATTTTTTTCAGTGTCCTAGAGTTAAACTTCTCATGAGCGAGGGGTATGAGAGGGGATTCGTCTACCCCGCAGCACACGCCAGCGTTGAATTAGCGTCCGTCAGCCACCCGGGCCTTGCCTTATTGAAGCCCACGACTAGCGCATTGGATTAAGCTTTCGGTCAAGCTCCACGAATGGGGGGCCAAGCATCCTTGTTGATTATCTCCCGTATGCCATGGGATTACAGCGGGGGATCGCAGTCTAAAAACAAGAGGCTACAGCACATGATTGAACAACATGGGTGCGGTCTTTGCCGACAACAGTGTCGGCGCTACTTGCGCCTTGACAAGCCGCCGAAGCTGCGACGCCTGCCCACATTCCGGTGTACCTGATAACAGGATATTGATGAGTTTCAACCCCGCCTCTGCCACTGGCATCGAAACACGCGAGATTCCTCCTGAATACAAACACGAGCATCACCGTATTCTAGGCTACCCCGCGTGACCGACGCCACAGGATGCTGGTCTATAGTGTGGATTACAGAGCAATTGCCACACCCGTGGCACAAGTGGAGGGGCCAATGAGGAGGGGTTGTGCAGTGAGCCCAGCCAAGGACTCCAGGATTCCCGTCGTCATCACTGCACGCTACTGTAGGCACTCAATATGTCGAACACCAGCATGTCAATCCCGCATTGTGAAACCGACACGAATCAAGGCAGTCTAATTTTGTGACCAAATGACTTGGAAATGCGACCACAATTTTCGTCAGTATGTTGTAAAGTACTGCTATGTCGAGGGATGCCAGACAACATCCACGGCTAGGGCCAGGTGGAGCGGGATTAGTTACCGAGGACCATGCATGCATGCATGCAATGTGACTTGGACGTTGTTGGCCAATAAGCAAGACATGCGAGACATCTTTCGCTTAGCCGTTCAGGAAGGTAGTGGTCCAGATGGGTACTCTAGCAAGTTTTGTGGTGGTATGTAGAGTGGGACATGATGATAACAGTACATCTAGTGACCTGGTCGAGACCTTTCGAGTATGGCATCATGAGCTGGTAATCTTGCATAGTCTACGTTGTCATTCCTGCGGTTTGCTGTGAAAGCAGAGGGTGCATTTTCCGTCTCTCCCGGCTTGGTCAAGGAGCTATGGTACGCGACAAAAGTCAAGACGGAAAACCGGCAGCGGGTACGATGATCATTGTATCGCGAGCGATGCTTGTCCGGTGGGTAGAAACGTAGAACGCAAAGTTAGCGTTCATGCAGTCAGGTAGGATTCCCGGCGCCAGTCAGTGTACTGATGAAAGCCACATGGAATTGTACGTCGCGCACCGATCATCATGCCTCGATGCTCGCACATATTACGGAAATATGATATTCTACGAGTTAGTCCCTCCAATGGCGGCGATAGATCGGAAATCCGGGCGAAGACAAGCAGATATCCCACTCAGTTGATAACGTTAACCGGACGTCGAAGCCATGGCTTGTGTAACTGAAGGATGATTGGCCAAGGCGTGCCCCATATGTGTAACGAAGAGGGGTTGTTTGGCGCTCAGAAGGGTGCACGGCGATGTTGTGACCGTCTAGATTTTCGATCGATGGAAACCAAGGTATGGGCGCGTACGTGGATATGTGTGATTGCATGTGGAAACGGTCTGGGTATTGTCACAGAGAAACAGCAGGGCGGGGCTGCAAGTCGCGCTTTACAGGAGGCGTCCCTGTAGTCATGGTGGGCTGCTGCTGTGCTGGGTATGGCTAGTTTCCACGGGGTCGCGGTCCAGAGTGGCGATGATCCAAATAAACCTGTGCAGATGGAATTGCCATGATACTCAGGGAGATGGAAAGACGGATACGACAAGATGGGGGATGGCGACAGTTCAGGGAGGAAGGCGAGGTTGAAGCCGAGTGAAGCGTGTCGGAGACAAGCGTGCAAGCTCCGCGACGGCGTCGGTGCCAAGACGAAATTTGTTATCGATAGCAACGTCTGCGACAGCCACGATCCAGGGACGGCCGACTGGCCGAATTAATTGCCCGTTCACCAAGCATTTGGAGACATGGCGCGCAAGAAGAAAAGTGCACAGTCGGATGCGGCAACCAACGGGAGCGCTTCGTCGACACCGCCGCCCCCGGCTGCTCCGGCTGCTGCTCCTGCTGGTGCTGCTGGTGGAAGCGCAGGGACAGCGAAGAAGGCGGGCAGCGAAGCCTCAACCTCTGCGCTCATCATCTGTCGCAACAAGTGAGTCTGGGGCGGGTATCTGCCGTCTTGCTGTCCTTGCCAAGCAGAACATGCCCTAATAGATCTTCTATAGGCATTGGCGCTACATTTCTTCGTTCCATGGACCCTGGCTGCAACTCCCTCCAGAAGTCCTCGAGTCGCTCGCCCATAGCAATTATCTCTCCCCTCGTCCACACCCCATTGATCCCGCCGTCTTCTATGACCTCGTCAAGATCCGTAAGGCGGTCGACGAGGCGACTAACCTCGCTGTGCGCGCCACGTCTGGTCTGACCTCGGCTGCTCTTAGCAACAGCCTCAATGGCGGCAATAGCATGCTGGGTGGTGCCGCTGCGCTGGGTATAGGCTACGGGGCAGGGGGCACGTCGAAACTGAGTAGAGAGCGGAAACATCGTATGAGGGAACTGGCGACGAACAAACTCAGCCAGGCGTATCATCTCGATGAGATCGCGGCCAGTGTTGCGACAATGCAGAGCGCAAGCACGCTCGAGGACGTGGCGCATTTGGTACTGCAGCGCGAGCCGACCAACGTGGATGCCAAGTACGTCCATTTCTTCCACGAGAAGATTCCTAGTCGAATGATGGCACAGTGTACGCCCCTCGATACCCTGAACGATATCATCGCAGAGCGGCCCAATGACGGCAGTCCACTACGCACGCGCGCGTTGACCAGAATATTCAAAGACGACTATGTAAACTCTGCAAAAGATCTAAGCGAAGCCTTGAGCACAGCCCGGTACATGATGGCGCAACATAGAGCGGGGAAGGACCAATTAGTGTTGGCAAAGACACTGCAAGAGCAGTACGGAAGAGATTGGAGGCAAGAAGTCAAGATACCCGACGAAGACCAACCCAATTCACTCGAGACCCAATTGCTTTTTCATCGCGCTGGCGTCTACTTTACCATAGCATGCAGTCATGTTCATGCAGCCCTCGATGGTCTCCAGGAAGCTGAGGAAGCAAAGGCGCGGCGAGATGCCATGATTGCAGAGGGCAAAGACCCAGATCCCATGACACCAGAAGAAGCGCATGCGAACCATCTCCGCCTCGAAGCACGCAAACAAGTCCGACAGAATGCCAAACGCGCCCTACGTGATTATCTCGCCTTTCTATCGCATTTCGACTACACACCTGGTGTCTCCGCAGAAGTGGCTGAAGAATTCTTGCGGAGACTAGATAATTCAGCAAACGGCAGCAACGATGGCTATGGAAACAACAAAATCAAACCAAACATGAATCGACTAATAGAAGAAACAAACGGTACCGCATCGCCCATGTCCGAAGCGCTCGTTCCCCATCGTGGCGGTTCGACCAAGTCAAATTCCGACCGCGCATCATGGTCGAAATTGCCTCCACCAGAAATCTTCAAAGTATCCCAACTATTTGATGCCGCACCCCCAGCTTCATTACCGCCATATCCAGCACCCAGGTCTCCATCAGCAGCCGAATCCGCTGCTGCAGCTGCAGCAACTACCTTCGCTGACAGCCATGAAAGCATAACCTATCACCCCCTTATCACCGACGCCCTACACTCTCTCCTCCTTTGTCACGCACTCATCCAAACCCCACCAAAAGAGCACCTCCGGCACGCCCACAACGCCGCACGTCTCGCCCGTGTCTGCGACGGCTACCCCATCTTCCTCGCTGCCCGCTCACCCGCGCGCGCCGACTGGATCGAAGTACTCCGACGAGCAGGAAACTGGATCGGACTCTCGACCTCATGGGAAAACCTGTGTCGCCCCGCTCCTCTCCCAACCCACCACTACAACCCAAACAACGGCACCAGCTCCAAAAACGGCACCGCAACAACAGACCTCTACACAAAACCCAGCATGACCCCACCCCCGGAAACCCCCGCCCAACGCCGCGAACGCCAAAAACACGAAGCCATCCTCGAAGCCCTCGCCGATGAGCGAGTCGTAGACGAAGAGTCCTTCCAACGCGCCGTACGCGCCCGCGAGCGCCGCAACCGCGAAGACGAAGAGTTGGAAGCGAAACGGCAGCAGCAACATCTTCAACAACAGCAGTCGAAGAAAAAGACCCAACACCAAAATAACACCACCGATCCCACAGCGACTGCCGAAAACGCAAACGGAGACGCAGATGCAGATGTATACCCCACCTCCCACTCCTCGCCTTCTCCTTCCCCTCCACCACCTCCACCCCCACCACCGCCGAAACGCTGGGCCCAGGATGATGGGAGGGAATACCCGATTTCTACGGAGCGCGCAGAGGCGATTAGTCGGTGGGTTAGGGACGCGCCGCCGGTTGGGGATGTGAGTGCGGGGGGCGCGGGAGGGGTTAGGAGGAAGAGGGCAAAAGGGAAGGCGAGGAAAGGGGGCGTTAGTAGGGTTGGTATTGATAGTTTGAGGGAGAGCGTAGAGGGATTCGGGGTTAAGGATAGAAGGGAGGAGGGGGTTGACTAGATAAGGTGGTTTAGACGATGGGTTTCCCAGGTATAATGTTTATCTAGTAGAATTGTTGTTGCTGAGAAGGGACCTGTGGTTGGCCTTTTTTTTGAGCTCTGCATGGAAGACGTTGTACAGTTGGACTATCATTCATGTTTATTAATCGTGAGTAGCTTACTTTGGTCAGCTAGTCGTCGCTGAAAGTCCCAGAGGCTTTTTCCAGCTCCCGTCATTCATACCTATGACGCCCGTCCCACTTTGAAAAGAATCCTTTCTTTTTCACAATGAATAAAACGCCGACCCATGACATGTGCCCTCCCACACAGCCCTTAGTCGACTTCATACTCCCGCTCCGTACCACCAACAGTAATATGATCCGAGCCCAGTTGATGCATCTCCTTGCCCTCGATCTCGGAAAGTACCTTCTGCCACACCTTTTCGCAATGTTCCTTTGGCATCTGCCCATTACTCCAACAACACTGCAAATCTTCCCTTTTAATCTTAAACTTTTCATCGATCGCCCCTTCCTGAGGTGCATCGTGCGGCTTCTCGTGTGGAATGCAGTGATTGAGCAATCCCTTCAGCGGGAGCATATTGGCTGCAAGCCAGTAGGCCCGGTGGAAGCGGCGATCGCTGGCCTTGGGCATGTCAAAGTCCCACTTTTCCTTCAGAATAAAGTCTGGATTTGCTCTGAATTGGGTTATTCGCCATGGAGTGATGGTCGTCCAGTGTATCTCCTCATGTGTATGCGCGTAGCGGCCGTACACGCCGATGGTTGTCGTGGTTTCAGCGGTTGGTCCCCATTGAAATGGGTTCGCGGCATTGTGGAGTACGAGAACAGAGAACCTGGTGCCTCCCTTGATGAAGCCGGTAGTTATATGGCAGTGCCACTTGGGTTTCTGTGGAAAGAAAGTGGTTTGCTCAAGCCAGTCGTTAATGTACGTTTGGGCAAAGTCGAACCTGGTGCCCGAGCGAAGCTCAAAGTGCCACACTGGCCATTTATAGGCTTCGTACTTGTCTGTAATAGGCTGTCGGGTTCCTTCGCTTGGTAAGGGGCCATGCGGTGGTGGCTGGTTCAGGGGCGGCTGCACATGGGAAGTCGCATGATAATGGGATAACGATGAGATAGGAATTAAGTAGCGGGGTGGTGGTTCAGGTGCATACACTCGGGGTTGCAGACCAAGCCTTCTAGCAGAAGATCCATGACCTAAAGAAGGACTGTAAGATTGATCCTCTCCACTAGCAGCGCGCACGGGATCATAGATAGAGTGACTGGAACTGTACGAAGGTCCAGAGCCCGGAAGCTGGGACACAAAAACACGTGGAGTTCCGGATGGATAGGAGGGTTCAGGAGGCTCCTCAGGTGCAGGGCCTGGAACAAGTCTGCGATAACGTCGCGGAGGAGTAGACGGCGCTTGCAAATCTTCATCACGGGACTTGCGCTTCCCATGGTTCTGAGGATAAGTAGAAGAGGGTGTAGGATGCACATTATACTGCATTGAAGATGCTGATGCTGGCGTTTGTGCCTGTTTAGCTCGTTTTGCTTCCTCATTTTGTAGGAATTCTTCTCGTTTTCTTCGGGCAGTCTCATCCATTCTCAAGTTGTGTGTTGGCCACTCCTGGATCGGTGGGGATATCTGGACGGGTGACAGTGGAGACATCAGCTGTTCGGGAGAAGAGTGTAGGAGATTGGCACATGGGTGCAGTCGAGGTCGTGTCTCAGGGCGTTGCGATGGAGGAAATTGGGTATCGACATGGGAAGGTACTGCATAGAAGCCTGAATAAGGCATGTATACTGGTTGTACCTGAGGTATTCGGACTTGTTTCGACGCAATTCTGTGCTGATTCTGAGCATACCAAGAGTGCAACTCACCGAAGCCATCATCGCGATACTGAAGAGGCAAAGTAGGAGGGATTTCATAACCGATCGGTCGAAACACAAGGTCAGCATAAAGTTCATGTTGATAATCCGGTTCTCGCTTGTAGTGATCCTGTTCAGGAGATGGCGGGACTGCGATGATGGCACCTGCCGCGTCGGTCAAGTCATCCTTGGCCATATTCGTGTACCAAGCGGTAGGAGTAGAGGAGTGTGAAGGTCCTGTGGAATGCACCTACAGTAAGTTGCGCCGACGATGTCATAATAGGAGTTAGGGAGGCATGGGCTTGCGGGCTATTTATCTCTGGTGGAAGTCGTGGTGAAAGTGACAGGGAAGGCGCTAACAGTTAAGGTGAGAATACAAGGTGCGCCACCTCTTCAGTCACTTCACCAGGCACCTACAGAAACACCATGAGAATTAGGCTTTCCACTTCTACCTTATATGCCGATGAGATGTGAACGCGTGTGGAGTCACAGACCGCCAACGAGCCACGCCGAACTCGCGACGTCGTTGCCAGAGCGCTACGGAACTGGCAGAAATTAGATGTGAGAGAGACCTGATATGTGAGTAGCAGTGAAGTGAACATGCGATGGCTGTTGGGAGGGGTAACATTACTTGGCTTATATTACCATTTGGGCATGTGAAAGTAGAAATGAGGCATAGCCACGATTCATTGCGTGGGCTTACCATCTGATCACCTTCCGGCACACTCACAACCACGACCACTGACCACTCGACTTGGTGTCCACACAGCAAGGCCAGGCTGTCCTCATGCAGCCAGCCAAAGAGACGTGTCGGAGAGATGCCAAGCACTTCAGGCAGACACAACTAGACCCATAGAGTGTTGTGGAACAGGGTAAAAGCAAAAGAAACTGAAACGAATATGCATGCGCACATGTAGCCTTACCCAGTATTCTGCCCTGTGAGTCATAATACACTCTACCGTACTCCATCTTTTGCCACGCTAGACCTCCCGAATATGCGCTCCAACGCCAAACAAACAAGAACAATGCAGGGCAACGCAGCTCAAGATAAGCGATATACCCTGCCCCATACGAGTTCGAAGCTACCAAGGAGACACCTCTTATACAACGCGCTTGACCTAGAAAGCGCATTAGTATGGCGACCCAATAAGCCGGCTGTCCATTTCATCGTCTTGCTTACCTCAAAGAATCGCTTCAACCACCACACCTGGAAGAAACCCTGAGCTGCCAGTACGATGAGCTGGAAGATGCTCCACCACTTGACGCGCGAATTGGTGCTCTCAGCAGTGTTTCGGTGTACTCGCTCACGAGTGCTCATATACATCTCCTCATCCTTAACCTGCGCTACAAGTTCTGACATGGCCCGCACTGATACCGTTAGCGTATGACCTTGCCTGCCTCAATTCAAACGTTCTTACCCTCTTTCTCCAAAGGATCTTGCGGGGCTTCTGACTCGGGGACGTAGACAATGCCGTGCACGTTGAACGAGACCTCTTTGGTGTTGGCACCCCAGTGTTCGTTGTTAAAGCAGTACGTGTACTTTCCATCCTCGGTCGCATCGAAAGAATGGTCACCGTTGGCTACGCCGCGCTCGTGGACTTGATAGGTGCGAGAGGGAGTCTCAATCTGCCAAGTTGAATTAGTCCTGCTGCTGCCATTGCCGTCGCCCAAAGCCACATGTCTCTTTGACGCACCCAGAAATCAATTTCTAAATTCCCACTGCCGCCAAACTCCCGGTCGCCAACTTGGAACGTGACTGTCATCTTGTCGCCTTTGTGCAGTTGCTCGTGGAAGCATTCGCGCTGATGGGCCTTCATCTGGATGTTGTGCGCTGTCGCAAATGACAGGAGACTGCTTGCCGCCGCGAGAATGGCGAATGAAGGGAACAGCATGTTTGCGGATGTCGTCGTGCTGCTTTGTCGTGCTCGAGGTTTGGATTTGGGGAAACGCCAAGTACGTATACGGAGATGCCAGCTTGCCCGCAATTCCAGGGCCAGAACACTAGCGTCCCCCTTAGTCAGCGACGTTCTGATCTCACCCTCCTCAGAACGTCTTCTTCATCCCAACCACATCTCACTTATTCCTAGATATATTTCTCAGACTTCACTTAGAGAGGTACATAACTCTTTGCCACCTTTGCAAGTCGCGAAGACAATTTTGTCTCACTACAAATATACATGGCTATCACATGTACCACCATTACTGTGGTTATGATGGCGATCTGCGGTAATTGCAATGTTATCAGAGTCTAAACTCTCTGGAAAAAATGGCGTATCTAAGCAGCGTATTAAAGATATATCTGGGAAGGGTGATGTGCATCTTCAAGTTTTTAATTGTAATATCTACCTCGCCACAGCATCTCACTTCCTACTCGTCATGCTGTCTCTTCTGTTCCTGAGTCACCTCTATTTCGTTTGTGCAGCCTACCTCATATTCACCGGTCCTGTCGATCTTGTTTTTGAGCGTTTGTGAAGACCCTGTAATCTCACCTCCACCGGAACTTACTTACAATTTGCCACTTTTGTCCACGGCATCTGTGAGTTTTGACACGGATATTCCATCTACACGCCGTGAGTTTCGGCACTGGTACTCCATCAATACACACACCATGCCCGACCCATCCAGCGCCCCTCGAAGAGTATCATTCGGTTATATTCTCGGGTTCAGTGATAAACCTTACAAAGATCCAAAACCACCACCGCCACCGCGCCCCAGAAGGCCGAGCCAGCTGGCTGAATTGGTAAGTCACCCGATACTACGCTATATCTATTACCAATGCTAATTGATGTAGGTCGCTTCGCCCGGAGGTTTGGTAGAGTGGACAGCAAGCGATGGACGCAAGGGTAGACTTACAGGCATGGGCAAGCCGCAATTGACTGCCGCAAGTCTTGCTAAAGTCCCATCTGAGATCCAACCAACAAAGGAGCATTCGAAAAAGTCTACTTACAAAAACCCCGCTAGTAACCCCGAGAACCTATGGACAACCGGAGGCTGGGATAATGTCGAGGCCACTGGTGGGTCAATAAAGTCAACATCAAAGAAGGCGCCTAGCAGCAAGAACAACGCCTGGAAAACTGGTGATTGGAATCCCAGTGGTTCTAACAAAGGATCTCAGAAGGCGGCCAGCTGCACCCAAGTGCCGGGGGGGTCGGGAGATCCTGGTGATCTTTGGCAAACCCAAGCCGGTACTTCCGCTGATGACACCAAGAAGGAAGGGGACAAGGAGGATGAGAAGAAAGCTAAAAAGAAAAGCGAGATGAAAGATGAAAAAAACGATGGGAAATCAACCGAGCAGGCAACCAAGAGTGGAGATTCGAACGAAACGCCAGCTTCAACCAACACTGTTACAGAGCAAGGCTCGGCAAAGAAACCCGATGACACAAATACATGGACGAAGGAGGAGGACGAGCAGCTACTGCAGATGAAAACGGAGAATGCGTCATGGAAAACTATCCAGGATAAGTTTGGTAAGACCAGGAAACAGTGCGCAGAAAGATGGAATATCGTCAAAGCAGCAGGCGGGAAACCTGACAATGCGAATAACAACGCTGGTAAAGGGGATGCAAGTCAGAAGAAAGACAACAAGCTTGACGAAGAGAAACAGAACCAGGGCACCAAGGACAGTAAGAAGGACAACAGCAAGGAAGAAGACAAGAAAGACGCCGAAGTTCCTGATGTTCCCTGGGGCGACACCTTCGAAGAAACGTTTGGCGAGACAAGTGACGACAAGCAAGGCGAGGCCGAGAAAGCCAACGATGGAGATACCTGGGGAACGGGTGATCCTACAAACACAGGCAACACCGATGATGCCAAAGACAGCGGCGATCTCTGGGCCAAGGTGGATGGCGCCGGTGATAGCAAGGACAAAGACTCTGGCGATCTATGGGGTCAGGGAATTTGGGACACTACCAACCAGGAGACCAACCTTGCCGCAGCTCCGAACATCCCGCAATCCGCAGCTCCAGCAAAACCCGCATCACCCCCTCGCTCCACCAAAGCACCATCCGAGGCCCGCTCGCGCCGCAGCTCGTCCAGCAAGTCTAAATCCACCGCGACTCGTCCTGCTGAGATCGAACTCGAGCCCGATGACACCTTTTCTGCCGACGATTTACGCTTGATTGCCCGTATCCTGCAGCAGGACTGCTCGATGGTGTGGAGTAGGCTTAGTTGGCGGTTTAGGGATAAGACGGGTAGGACACTTGATCCCGAGGTGTTTGAGAAGAAAATTACGGGGATAGTTGAGGGTGAAGGGAGGAAGTGAGGGGTGGTTCTTGTTTCGATAGCCACATCCGTTTAAGCTGTGCGTCTCAAGAAGAAGATGTATACATGGTTCCCTCCAGTAGTTCCAAGATGAGACTGATTGCTTTTTCATGTATGCTAAGGCAGTTACATATAGAATCCTCACTCCAGCAATCCCAACAGTCCCTCCCAAGGCCTCAAGTCCACCGTCCCACTCTTAGCCTTGGTATCCAACTCCCTCTCGTCATAGTTCCCCGCAACCCACTTCTTCACCTTGATATCCCCTATTCCACCCCACTTGACCTCCTCCCTACTAAAATTCAATACAGTAATGAACCCCTTATCCTTGCCCCACCGGCGAAACGCCACAACCTTCTCGTGTCCCATATCCAGCATTTCGAAATCGCCATACACGAAAATGTCCTTGTTTTCCTTGCGGTGCTCCAGGGCCCGCTTCCAGAATGCGTGGACGGATAAGGTACCGGGGGATGGAGTGGGGTTGGCGAGTTGCTCGGCGACGTTGATGGCGGAATAGTCGGTGTTGACACGCATCCAGGGGGTTCCGGATGTGAAGCCTGCTTGAGGGTCGGCGGACCATTGCATGGGTGTGCGGGCGCTGTCGCGGGCTTTGCGTTGCATGATTTCTGCTGCGAGGGCTTGTTTTTCGGGATTGTTGGGGTAGAGGTCGCGGTATCTGGTGGTGTGTTAGAAACATGTTGGATATGAAAGAGTAAGGGGGGTGTGGTTTACTTCTTGAAGAAATTGATACTTTCAATGTCTTTGTATTCTTCGGGGCCCCATTCTTTGGGTATGTTGCGCATGCCGATTTCCTCGCCTTGATAGACGTAGAGGGTTCCGGCAAGTGTTGTTTGCATGAGGCAGAGGAGCTTTGCGCCATAGGAGCGCCACTCGTCACTGTCGTCGGTATATCTGCTTATGCTGCGGGGCTGGTCGTGGTTTTCCACATATAGTGTGTTCCAGCCGTCCCGCTCGAGCATCAGGCGCTGTAGTCTGTTTACGATTTTCTTGAGATGGCGTGCATCCCAGGGGTGTAGCGTGTATTTGAAGTCGCCGGGAATGTTGTCGATGTCGACGAGGTCGAAGTTGAAAATCATGTTCAGCTCGCCGCTTTCTGAGCCAACAACTTTGATGACTTCATCTTCGTCACGGACAAAGGGCATTTCGCCCACGGTCAGAGTGTCATACTTTGACAGGACGTCGCGGCGTAGTTCCTTGAGCCATTCGTGTAGGCGGGGACCGTTAGCAAAGTACTTGTCGCCTGGTTGGTACTTGGCATCTTTGACTGAGATTGCTGCATCAGGAAAGGATTGAACCTTTGAGATAAGGTTGATGACATCCATGCGGAAACCAGAGACGCCGCGATCCAGCCAGAAGCGGAGGATGTTGTGTACGGCCTCACGAACATCGGGATTTTCCCAGTTGAGATCAGGCTGCTCTGGTGTGAACAGCGAAAGGTAGTACTCCTGTGTCTTTTCATCCCATGTCCACGCCGAGTTGGCTTCTCCCAAGATCTGTGCCCAGTTATTTGGCGGTTGGCGGTTGCCATCGGCGTCGTATTTTGCTGGCTTCCATATATACCAGTCTCTTTTCTTCGATTCCTTGGATGATCGAGAATCGAGGAACCATGCATGCTCTTCTGAGGTGTGGTTGACAACCAGGTCCATGACAAGCTTCATGCCGCGTTTTTTGGTTTCCTGGATCAAATTATCGACATCAGCCAGAGTGCCGTAGCTGGGGTCTATGTCTTCGTAGTCTGCGATGTCGTAGCCCATATCGGCCTGCGGGCTCTTGTAGATTGGGGATAGCCATATTACGTCAATGCCTAGGTCCTTGAGGTAATCCAGCTTGGATGTGATTCCCTTTACATCGCCCCAACCATCGCCGTTGCTGTCAAGGAATGAGGCAGGGTAGATCTGGTATACCACAGCCTCCTTCCACCACCGGTGCTTGTCTGTGCCGACGTACAGGTCCTTATTTTGTGCAACGGCTGACATTTTGATTCGTTGTAGCAATTGATTCCAGGTGAGGTGTTGTAAAGATGTAGTCAGTCCAATCTGGCCATGTGTCGTCTCTGCTTATGAATGTTAGAGGGGATTGCTTTTTGTGGACCCTTTTCGGGGGCACCATACAAACGGCGCATCTCAACTCGTGGGAGTGGGGGTGGGGTGCGGGACCGATTGCCGCACAGCAGGCGATACATCCGACTACCCACCAATCAACAACATTTATTTCCTCTGTTGGCTCTGTTTGCATTTCGGATCGTCCTTGGATCTGGTCACGGCAGCAATGTGCGATCGTGCCTCAATATGATTCGTCCATGAGTTGGACAATCCCAGACAGCACGTTGATTGGCCGAAATTATATACCGTAGGTACTGCGTCATTGTAAAGGGCACGAGACCTATTGCCCGCTTCAGAAACCGGTAACAAACTGCTACATGATATACATTTAATAGAACTACTACCACGCTTTTTTCAACTACTAATTGTTTTCGTTTTTTGTGCGCTTGTCTGTCGGTCCGATATTGAGGATACGCGTCGTCATTGATAGTCCCACCGATACCCCACTACCAAGCCGAGGCATTACTTCGAGCTATGACGCATCCAGCAGATATCGAGGATGGAGGTTCTTCCGGCTCGCGGACACCACTCCTTGGATGTTCTTCACACCAAAGGATCGGGGATGATGTTGATTCCGACAAAAGGAGATGGTCGGTACTGCGGCTGCTCAGGTTCCTTGGTGGCGGCATCTACGCCCCGGATTCGACTACATATGATCCTATTGAGATTTTGCTGAATACCGAGGACAAAAATGAGAAGGATGATCTTACTATAAAGTGGAGAGACAACAGACTGAGCGAGCTGAACTTTGTCGGCGTTGTGGTACGTACAAGAATCAAGATCTACCGCAACGCTACGTGCGCTGTGTCATGGTTCCTTAAGTACTGGAAGCAACGAATGGATTGAAGTTTATTTATGGCTAGAGGGATTGTAAAGATCAATGCTGAGCTGACATGTTATAGTCCGCTCTTTTGGCTGGAGTCCTCACGTCTACAGGAAGCTGGCCCTCCATCTTGCCAAATGGTGAACAGTCACCATGGCCAGTGAGGACGTCCTGGTACTGTGGTATCATCCTTTCACTTTTCAGTATTCTCACAGCTGCCGATCAAACTGTTCGACTACACCGTCTATCATCGCACCGTGATGGATTGGCCAACATCCGCAAAATTCTTCAGAAGACCAACGGCGAGAGAAGGCATTCTTCGAAAACTGGTCGTAGAGCACCTAGTCATTTGCAGATCTTTACTTGGCAGATGCCGGTTATGTTTCTCACTTCTGCCACTCTCTGTATGATTATCGGCATGTTCCTGCATGTGTGGTCGGCAACCACGCATTTAGATCATCCATACGTCTGGGATGACAATACCAAGGTACGCTGGCTGGGTCATTGTTGTGGTACGTTTCACTGACACTCTCATTCAGGTCGCCGTCGCATACAGCTCTGTCGCAATATTTTCTATCATACTCTTCTTTATCGGCCAGATTTCGCTCTTCACGCCAGGTCGAGAGTCATAGCGGAACTTGAGGGAGCTTTCCCTAGCCATGAATGGTATGTGCTCTTAGTCTCGGGCATGGGGATTTTCGATTTTTTGGAGAGATCATCGAGGGCCCGCCTTATCGGTACATGGGCTGCCTTACCATATTAGATTGGTACTTCACTCTAGTTACCGGGGTTCTCACGAAAAGATTCTATGCATCAAAACATTTTGGTTTCCAAGTTTAAGTGACATACTTTGATATCCTAATAATTATTCCTTCAACTTTACGATAGCAACAACCTCTATTGTTGGGAGCGAACGAACCCGATTTTTGTGCAACTATCCCGTGCACCAATAGGTGCCTGATCGGTATGTTCTGGCACTATAGCGTCAAAGCTTCTTTTCGGACAAGCATTCTCCAAGTTAAAAAGTAAGTCTTTGCCGATCCCAAGCGTTCCACGCGAGAAAAAGGAGTCGGAGTTTGCAGATCTCAGATCTCGCGTGATTACTCTATGCTTTCCATACCCCTGGTTTTAAATGCGATTACTTACTAAATAAAGTTACTCATCCAGATATCCAGTTGACAACATAATGATGTTGTGGCCACAGAGTCCTCGATGAATTCTCCAAAAAGGCTACAGGATTCCCTCATACTTGTTGGTTGCCATCGGGCGTTTCCCTAAAAGCAATCAACGAGATCACGGAAATGAAGGGGAAATTAAACGAGACTTCAGCGAGGGAAAGTTTGTGACTGACGATCGTTGACCCCGAGCGTCCCTCAACATTAGTGCCTGTTGAAATCACATCCGAAGTGTTGAAAGGTATTCCGGGATTACCTGCTTACTGTATTATAACATGAGCTTGTAATAAGGCCAGTATAATCCGGAAGAAGACTAGATTCAAAGCATTAACCGCCGATGAGGCTTAACGAAAAGTGGTTAACGACCTGCGGCTCTATCACGATGCGCCCGTAATCAACGGACCTTACCGCTTACACTGGAGATCACGCCACGGGAGAAATGGATGAAGCATTTTCCAGAAATGGATCTCACGAAGTTGGAATAACGGAGATTCAGGGGTGTTTTGATGGGTTAAAAGAAAATACACACAAACTAGTGAATAGGAAACAATCGAAACTGACTATGCTCTGCTCCCAGCGCCCTCACCACATTTTTTCTTGACGATCCCGGCAACCGGCTCCAACGATTAGCGTAGTACCAACATGTCTCTCTTCTTGCGCCTCACGATGTCGGGCCTGATGCGGCAGTGCCGATTCCTTAGGCATTCACCGCTGACTTCGCTAAATATACCCAACTTCATGGACCCTTCAACGCCCATCTCCGCATCGCTTTATTGAACCATCCACGGCTCCCCGCGTTTGCGATGCGAAACGGTCGGTATAAGCATGTTGTGTAAACTTTACTGTCTGCTTTTACTTCCAGATTTAGATGCCCGCGCTCAGGCCAGCCAATCACAGACGCCCATGTCAGCTGCGGCTGACCAAACAAGGCGGAAAACGCAAGCGCCACATATTAATTCTCGTATTCGGGAACCGGCGACTAATGCGCTAAGGTACCAGGAAGCTCTGTTGCTTCGGACATGTTTTTTTGTATCGTTTCCCGGACTGTGCAAGATGTTTAAGAAGAAAGATGCTCTGGCGATTGCAAGAGTGTCCAAGCAATCTCGCTCACTTCAATCCTTCTCAGGTTCAAGATGCGTTTCCTAGCACTCTCCTCGATTAGCTTGCTCGCCAGCACAGCTACTGCATATTCAAATTCAAATTCAAATTCGAATTCGTGTAATGCATGCGAGGAGCTATCGTCTGCCCTTCCAAACAACACATTTTATCCCTCAGCACAAACTTACAACGCATCGATTCAATCATATCCCTTTCTCCAGCTTCGATTACATCCTTCTTGTATCGTCCGTCCTAGTACATCGCAAGATGTATCTACGGCTGTCTCGATCCTAGCGCAAACCAACTGCACCAAGTTTGCAATCAAGGGTGGAGGTCACAATGCAAATGCAGGATCCAACAACATCGAGGATGGTGTTACGATCGATATGCAGAGCTTGAAGAAGGTCGAGCTTGCAAAAGGTGATCAAGTAGTAAGAGTCGGTGCTGGAGCTTTGTGGCAAGATGTTTATGATACCGCTGAAAAGCGCAACCGCACTGCTATGGGTGGACGTATCGGAGTTGTAGGAACTGCTGGATTTCTGACTGGTGGTAAGTAAAATCGACATCTTTTAACTCCATTACTTCTGAAGCTGACTCTGCTGTCAGGAGGTATTGCGTTCCTGAGTCCCGAACACGGTTGGGCATGTGACGCGGTAGAGAACTTTGAAGTCGCACTCGCCAACGGCAAACTTGTCAACGCGAACTCCACGTCGAACTCTGACCTCTATGCCGCTCTCAAGGGCGGTCAGAACAACTTCGGTATTGTCACTCGCTTCGACCTTAAGACTTACCCTGCACGCCGAATCTGGGGTGGCAGAACTGTGTACGGTCCCAATGCTACTCAAGCTCTGCTTTCAGCGTACACAGATTTCAAGATGGGTGAATACGATCCCTATGCAGCTGGCTGGGTCACTGTACGATACAACCACACAGCTGCTACCTTCAACCCAGTCAGCATCATGTGGTACACCAAGCCAGAACAGAAGCCGGGCGCGTTGAAACCGATCATCGATGTCCAGCCTCAGGTCATGAACGGCAGAGTCGAGGCTCCCATCAGTGAGCACACCAGGAATGCTTCGCGACAAGTTTCCGCAAACCCTCAACGAACCATCTGGGCAACCACCTCATTTAAGATCTCACCAACCATCATGCACAGCATTCACGACATGTGGAGCAAGATTGTCCCCGAGATCTCCGAGCAGTACGCTTCCGCAAAGCCCGTTGCTGAGATCACCTTCCAAGCTCTTCCCGCCCCTCCACGAAACGGCACCGCGCCTAACGTTCTCGGATTCGGGCCAGAGGAAACTCCCGAGAAGGATCTGATATTCCTTCAAATCATCTTCACCTTCGAGGACGCCGCTGCAGCCGACGGTTTCGAAGAGGGACTCATCGACCTCGTGAAGCTAGTCGAGGATATCACCAAGAAGGAGGGCGTCTACCACCCCTACAAGTACCTCAACTTTGCCGCATCCTTCCAAGATCCACTTGGAAGCTACGGAAAGAAGGAGTTGAGGAAGATGTATAAGGTAGCGGATAAGTATGACCCACAAGGCATTTTCCAGACTCATGTTCCTGGCGGCTTCAAGCTCATTTGAGCAGCCTGTCATTTCGCGGGGGAAGGGGCGCAGTGTAGATAAAGAGAGATGCGTTTTTTGTTGATACCTTAGCCTAATATCCAATGAGCAATGTGAAGAATGCGCGGAATACGCGATACGTTGAATTTTCTTTTAAAAAAATATGATGCAAATAGTTTGTGAAATTTGATGCGTTATTGATTGTTGTTTTTTGCTAGCCACTCTTTGAACATACCCAGCAAACAAGTACACGTGTGTCAAAGTCTGTTTTGGTTCTTGGTTCTTTTTTCGCTTCACCATGGCGTTATTCACTACCATATAATATGTAGAATATATGTTGACACAATAGCCAGAGACTTTGCGTAAAACTTTTTTTCTCATTTTATCAGATAGCTCTCACGTCGTCATCAGCAAAGTGACCTTCGAGTAACATCACAAGTATCTAGTCAAAGTACAGTATCAAATCCCTGGAAAACACCTCTTATTCAGAGCAGTCAAAAAACTCTTTGGGCTATTTTATCGACATCCACATACAACTCGAACATCTGTACGGACAAAATGCACCCTGCGCTGATTGTCGCGGTGTTCAGTGCGGCAATCGTCGAGTTTTGGATTACGTTCGCACTCATATATGCCGCTTTGCAAAGATTTGATGAACGGCCATTCGGTAGGAGAGTCGGAGATGCGTTGAAGTTAAGGTTGCGGAAGGCATAAGGGAGGAGTCGAGAGCGAAGGGGCTGTGAAGCACTACAGTTTCCATGAAGCGTCATCAAAATCTGGGAAGTTTGAGATCGTTAAGAGCGCTTCAGCGATAAACATTCTAAAAAGTTTTCATCGATTTCAGATAGTGCGAGTGCGGTGGATTCTTAGCAGTAGATCACATGACTATCCTGGGAACATCCACCGTCCACCGATGTAGTCCTGTCGTACCTCAAAGATGCAACTCATTTATCATCTCCTCTCCCGATAACCCTGCAAGTAGATTCTTCACGCTCTCAGTCGCCATCTGCTCACGCGTCTCTATTGTCGCACTCCCAATATGCGGTACAAGGACAGCTCTCGGCTGCTTCAAGATTGGATGATCAGCAGTAATGTTCGGCTCGTTCTCTATCACATCCAGACCAGCACCAAAAATCTGCTCTTCATCCAGCGCCTTTACCAAAGCATTGGTGTCGATAATGGGACCGCGAGCGATATTGACGATGACAGATAGCTTCTTCATCTTCGAGAAGAAGTCCGTACTAACTAGGTGTTTAGTCGACGGAGTTAGAGCGCATCCAACAATTACAACGTCGCTTTCTTGAGCGAGCTGGTCAGTGCTTGTAGCCGGCTCGATGGGGATGCCAGAGTTCTTGAGTAGACCGAAATGGTCTTCTCTGGCGGGTTGTCCGGGCTTAGATGTAAGATAGATGACGCGCTTGATACCAAAGGGCAAGAGTCTTTGCAGAGAAGCCTGTGCGATTCGTCCAAAACCTAGAAATCCTACTGTTGAGCCTCGAATTTGCGGACCCGTCATGAGCAAAGGGTGCCACGGCATTTGCGGCCACTCGCCTCTGGCGACTTTCGCAATAGACTCTCCACCTCTTCTTTGCGCCATCAGAATCAGCATGACAGTAAGATCTGCAACAGCGTCGGTAAGGCATGTTGGGGTGTAGCCAAGACGTATGTTGCGCTTGTTCAGAGCATCTCGGTCAACGTGGTCGGTACCGACGGAGAAAGAGGCAATTGCTTTCAGTTGAGGCCCAGCAGCCTCTAGAAGTTCTTCATCGACTTTGTCTGTTAACATCACCAAGATGCCAGTTGCTCCGTTAACATTTTCCAAGAGCCAAGATCGGTCGCAAGGCTGCATACATGCACGTTAGCCGTCTGCAACCTTGGTGCCTCCGAACGTGCACTTACCTTTTCCGACTGCCATTGCACAATCTCCAAGCTCTCATTCTTCGCATCTAGTAATTTTTGAGCCTCATCAATGAGCTGGCGCGTGACAACGACTTTGGTCTTCGCCATGTTGGGGTACGTGTTAATGGTTGAACAGTTGCCGTGGTCGATCTGAAGCGGGGTAGAATTACTAGTCGTCCTGTCTATGCCCACCTGGTCTTCAATGCGTTCAAGACGGTGGGTTAGCTGCGACGACAGTTGCGATAGCCTTTGCATTGACAAAAGATCTGTAAACCTCCTCTGGGATAATAATTCAATCTTTGCGCATCACGATCGGTCGTCTTTATCCCGATCTTTCCGCCAATAAGCAGGCATGTCAGCGGTTTAAGGAGACCCACACTCTTTTCTCTTATGAAGACAATTTCAAACAGGATGCAAACATATATCTGTTGATAGTTTCATGAATTCTTCTCAGTTACCACTCTCTCGTGAGGTATTCCTAACCGTGAGCTCTACTACATATACTTACAATTCTTGCTTCGGTGCCTATCATACCTGATGGGAATATTTATTGTTAATGTGAAGTAGATGGCTAGCCATGAAAAAGCTCTTTACATGGTCATTCTAAGCCTTCGAGAGCCTAGAGTAGTCTTTGTGTTGTTGGATTTGTGGTGGTCATGGTGCATACAGTCGACGAGTCGACATGTCTAACCCAAAGAGGAATGTGTAGCCGGTCTGTACCCAACCCCACCTTTGGCCTATACCATAACATCTACATCTTCCTATAAGGGTTTTGTACCATATACTTTGACATGCAAGAAAATTGACACTGACTCAACAATTACAATACTCTATTGAAACATCAGGAAAGCAGTCGTATCGCCAACGATCTAAAACTATCATGGAGCAACGAGCCAGTATCCCTGTCTTACCACCAATCGCAAACCCTCTACCTTCATACTGGCAAATTCCACGATCGCCTCTTGCCAATGTGATCAAATCCGAGACCGATAACCCCACCAAACCTTACGACTATGTCATCATTGGTTCTGGTATCTCGGGTGCCATGATTGCTCATAACCTTCTCGAAAAGAGACCAGGTGCACGTATAGTGATGCTGGAAGCACGTGAAGTCTGTTCCGGTGCGACAGGGCGTAATGGTGGGCATACAAAAGCGGCAAGTTATCGGACTTATATGCAACACGTTAAGACCCTCGGAAAACAAGAGGCGCTCAAGATTGCAAGACTAGAGTACGCAAACATCGTCGAAACGCATCAACTAGCCGAAACATTAGGCATAGACTGCGAAAACAAGCTTTGCAACACTGTTGACCTTATCTACGATAAATCCACTTTTGAGGCAGGGAAAACAGCTATCCAGGCATTGCGTGGGGATACTGAGGATCATGAGAAAGAAGTTGGTAAAGCTGCATGGTACCAGATCCATGAAGATACAGCACAAGTCCAAAAACAATTCTTCGTTGCACCAGAGTTCTCTAATTCTACACTGAAAGAGCGAGAGAGGCTGGAAGGTGCTTTTGAATACGTCGCAGGTCGCGTGCACGCATACCGCTTCACTACAGGCGTACTATCAAGATGCATCAAGAAAGGCCTGCAGCTACGCACAAACACAACAGTCGATAGCATACAGCCATCCAAGGAAACCGGCACGGACAGCATCACCCGTTGGGATATCATAACCAAACATAACACCATCTCAACCGCACAAGTCATCGTCGCATCAAACGGCTACACCCCCTACATCCTCAAAGAACTCCAAGGCGCCATAGTCCCCATGCGCGGCCAAATCACCGTCCAACGCCCCAGCAGCGCTACCAAACTCCCCTCTCCCCTCCCAACAACCTACTCCTTCATCGGCTGCGACGGCTACGAATACATGATCCCGCGCCCGCTCCCCTCCGGCAGCCAGCACATCGTCATCGGAGGCGGTCTCGCACGTCTGCCCGATGGTGGCGCCGCCGAATTCGGAATCGTAGACGACGCCTCGCTGAACCCGGCTATCTCCGCCTACCTCCGCGAAACACTAACGGGGTACCACGGCACTGAGAACTGGGGTGAGGCGACGGAGGCTGAGGCTGAGAAGCGGGTCGAGAGTGAGTGGACGGGCATTATGGGGGCGACGGCGGATGGACAGCCGTTTGTAGGCGAGGTTCCTGGGAAAAAGGGTGTGTGGGTTTCGGCTGGGTTTAATGGGCATGGCATGGTGCTTTGTTTGAAGTCGGCGGAGGCGTTGGTGGGGATGATTGAGGGGGGTGCGGTGCCAGAGTGGTTTCCGGGGAGCTTTTTGATATCGAAGGAGAGGGTGGAGAAGTGTCGGTTTAGAGGGAGGACGGATTTGATTGGTGAGGAGTGAGTTAGAGGTAGAGGAGAATTGGTGTTCCGTTTGAGGAATGTGTTCATCTCTGTCTTTCTAAAGCCTCTGATGATAGTGTTCTGTTATTTTGATAACACCGTGGCTGCAGAAGCTATATCACTGGCAGTACGATAGTTTGTGGTGAATCTAGCACAGATACGATCCGCAGCGGCGTTCTCTGACACAGCATACGTTTACAACCGTTTTATTGAAATCTAAAGTACCGGGGTATCAGATGTAATTATCAAATCGAAATCTTCTGATGCGAAAGTCGTCACATCCGTCTAGAACATCTGCCTGTTCCTCATCTCTACTGGCAGGAAGCACATCAAGAGTGCAGAGAGCCAGATACCACCAGCACCTAGCCAAAGGATACCAGCGCTTTTTTCTGCAAGAAACTGTGCACCGGCATACGGTGCGACGATTCCAGCTATGCGACCCAGACACGACAGAATACCACTGACACTTCCTCGGTAGGTGGTATCGAAGAGTTCTGGGGCAGACGCATACAGAACAGCGTTGAAATACTGCGACTCAATCAGTACTTGAATACATGTACAGATTCTTCAGTACTTACCGTTTGCATAATGTACTCGAGAGCATTGAGGCCAACGTATGCTGCTGTCGAAGAGACTTGCGTGTACATCGCCATAGAGACTCCTTGGCATAGAGCAGAAAAGACGAGCGACCATTTCCGACCTAGCAATGGCATCTGGACGGAGAATAGCGCAAGGACTGCACCGATGATGCCAGGGAAGTAGATGATCATGTACTGTTCGTAAGTGTCGCTCACGCTTGATCTACCGTCCGAGACATTGTTGTTGTAGAGGATGATGGGAAGGAAAGCTCCTGCCAGATTGAACGACCAGTAGTCTCCCTAAAACAGAGTTAGTAGGCTTACACGAAGTCAGATAATCCAACTTACCATGTAGGTGAATGCGAGCAAAATGAAGATGTAGGCAGACAACTTATTATCGAAGATGCCCTTGAGACGCTTCAATTCCTTGCCAAAGCCTTGAATAACCTTCTTGGTTGTCGCTTTAGTGCCTGCAGGTGCTTCTGTCCTAACATGTGCACCAGATGTTGCATTAGTAGCTGCGTCATCAATAGCAGCAAACATGTCCACCGTCAGGGTTGGTGGTGGCTGCTTATTGAACTTGGCGATTTTATGGAGAACATCAATGGCTTCAGCCTCTTTGCCCCTAGCAAGCAAAAACTTGGGCGATTCGTGAAAACGGAAGACGAAGAAACGAAGGAAAAATACCGCTAATGTCATCGAGCCGAGAACAATGACGTTGTAGCGCCAACCCATGTTGTCGTCGACTGTACAGCAAGCTTCGCCGTCACCAGCGCTCACGCAAGACGGCAGGTTAGGGTCGCAGCGCCACTTTGCTGTCGTACCATAGGCGATAACGGATGCAATGGCGACTCCAATAGGCTGCCACATGGATAGAAGTGCAACGAGAAAGCGGCGGTTATGTGGCAGAAATTCAAGGGCAATGGTGGCATCGATGGGAATGTTGCCTCCTAAGCCCAGCGATGCGAGGAAGTAAATAGCACATATCGCACTATAGTTGAATTTAGGAGCAGCCTGGTTGGATATTAGTGAAGGAACGTTAATTCTGAAAGCAGAAAACGTACCAACAAGAGTCCGAAGATTGAAGTAATCAGACAAGTCAAGTTGAAAGCCCATTTGCGGCCAATAACATCTACAGCAAGGCCGAAGAAGAGTGCTCCGATAGCCAATCCCGCATTTGCAATGGAAAATATGTTTCCTTGCTCTGGGGCAGGAACATCCATCTATATCTTACGTCAGACGTATACTATTGAATGCTTTTCGTATACTCACTTCTTGGTAAATGGAAGTGACGATCAAACCAACGCCTTGGGCCCAAGCAAGATCAAGGAAGTAACCGAAACCGCAGAGAAACCAGATGCATATTTGGTATCTGCCCATCCCGAATTTGTCTATTTCGACATTGATGAGTGCTGCCTTCTTTTCGAATACGTTGAGCGGGTTTGCGGCAGTGCCTTTGAGAATTGCAGCAAAGGATAGATCGGTTTGATCGACACGCTCGACGTCATTGTAAATGGGAATTTCAACCTGAGGGTGGGATTTGGTCGTAACGATTTTTTCATCTTCACTGGAATTTCCAGTCTTGCGCTCGGGAATCGACGTGTCGACCGGGAATTTGTCGTCGCCAGCGACGTGAACTTGTTTATTCTCGGGATGGTTGACGTCCATGCTGGCTGTAGATATCGGAACCGGCTTTCAGAAGCTGGTCGTCAGGGACTTGCGTGTGGGATGGGCGAGGTCAAGTCGCCGCGTGGATATGGCAAGTTACAAGCCGGTACTGTGGGACAGTGTGTTATATGGGTGGGGAAATGCATCCCTTCCGCGCCACACTCGAGCTACTGGTGAAAACGGGTCTAAGCGGCGGATACTAGGATCCTTTTCATTGATGCAACTACCGTCCGTCCAACAGCATCAGGCTCCGAGGCGGTAGAGTTTTAGCGACGGAGAGCTCATTGGTTGCCATGTTATCATCCTGGCATACTGTATGACATCGTCGAGCAGCGGCACTAGGCCTTGTCCGTACGTTGGAGCTCGTCTCTCGGTCTGTCCGTGTCGCAGAAATCTCTGCCATGGCTAAAAAGATGCCCTAGCAGCTGTGCCATGGCAGGTTTCTTGACTAGGCTTGTATTTCCATAATAGCGTGATGGCGGAATGGGCATAGTAACGAACAGTTGAAGCGCCCATGCTAGCCGTCCCCGCTCAAGGCTGAGGGTTACGCAGTGCATGCCGTGAACCCGTCATTTTAGGGCACGCTTCCTGTCGCCTCCTTCTCCACTACACATTATTGCCATGGGGTATATTGGCTAGCTTTCGCATCGCGAGTCAATTGCCATGCCGATACCGAGATCTTGCCCCCAGCCCCCCACTTTGATGAGATTCACCGTTCACGAACATGTATGACCATGCCGTTTCTGGTATAGCGGCAAGTCATGCACGTCATTGTGAGCTCTTTGATTCCCTCTTCTCAATTCTGCTGTACAATTGTCATCGTTTACCACGATGAACTTGTACTTTTTCTTTGACACGTCTAAGAGTTTCAGCCGTTTTTGTACGAGCAGCCCACGTTGCTTCTCTGCTTTTTTCCTTGCTCTAAGATTACAATGATCACACGGTGTCACCCAACACAACAGAAGAAACATTAAGGGTGTCTTAATTCGGGTGTCAACCATCTCCTCTGACGCTTTCTCTCAAATTACTTGTCCAATCCGTACTCCTTAATCAACCTTTCGCTGGCAATCTGCCCAACCAGATATGCAGTCGCCTGCGTATGATTATTTGTCGTAACTGGTGCAACACTCATATCCACCACTCTCAAACCTTCTACACCCCGTACTTTGAACTTCTTGTCTACTACCGCTTCTTTATCATCATTCTTTCCCATCTTGCACGTACCAGCAGCATGCCACACAGTATTGGCGTTCTCTTTCGCAAACGCATCAATGGATTCATCCGACATTGACTCTGGGGCGAGGATTTTGCGCACAATGTATGGTGCAAGGGCGGTTGAGGTGGTAAGTTTAGTCCATGTGTTTCGGACTGCTTCGCGGAAAACACGGGTATCGTATGGATGAGTAAGGTAGTTGAGCTTGATTGCGGGCTTATCGGCTGCATCCTTAGATCGCAAAGTCACACTCCCTCTCGACAGCGGATTCATGAGGAAGGCAATGAAGCTCATATATGTGTTGCCTTCTGCGAGCTTCGTTCCAGGAGGCCACAGAGCCGAGTTTGCTATCAGCTCGTACGTTGGGACTTCATCCTTTGAAAGAAATTCTTGGAAATCCTTAGGCAGTGCTTTGTACTCTTCGAACGTCTCGAGTCCGGGTAGTTTGAGAAACCCGCCCCATAGAGCTGAGTTATGGATCGCCAAGGCACCAGAATTATCCTTTTCCCAGGCCTTTTCTGCTTCGGCAACAATTTCGGGATTGCTCTCAAAGGCGTACTTGTCATTGACACTTCCATCGACTTCGACGCTTATAAAGGTCAAGACATGGTCATGGAGATTTTTGCCTACACCGGGCAAATCCACTTTGACGTCGATTCCAAGGGCTTCGAGTTCGGACATGGGTCCGATACCGTTGAGAAGGAGCAGTCGAGGTGAGTCGATTGCGCCGGCGCAAATGATGACTTCGTTTTTGGCGGTTGCTGCTGTATATCAGCATCTTGCTTCTCTGACTCCATATCCAATTCCACCTTCATTCGAAGTCAGAAGAAGTGACCAAAACATACCTTCTCGTCCATTCTCCGTCACAACCCCGACGACCTTCTTCCCTTCCCACAGCAATTTCGTCACCTTTGCGTCCGTCCAAATGTCAAGATTTTTTGGTGGATCAGTCAAATGGGCAATCGCACTCGTACACCTCCCTTGCTTAGCGTATGTAGCTGGGAAAATGCTAATGCCTACTGGATCTCCAGAGTTCGGGTCCAAATTCAACTTCTCCCCCGCCTGCATAAGTGCCTCCATCTGTGGCTGGACAGCCGTCTCCAGAATGGGCGGCAGCCCAACATTTAACTTACCCTTGGTCCCATGTTGAACCGATGAAGGGTTAGCAAGGTGACGGTACGTCTTTGAGCCCGAGGAATCGAAATTCTCAATCTTCTCGTATGCTCTCTTTACGTTCTCCCACTTGAAGGTGCCTTCTCCATCTTCGCCATCATCATTGACAAGGTCGTCCCATCTTTCATAATCCCTCTTACTACCATATAGGTATACTGCGAAATTCACCATACTACACCCGCCCAATCCCTTTCCGCGCGTATACGCAATCTGTCGTCCGTTCAGTGCTTCCTCTGGCTCGGTGATATAGCCATGGTCCAGATCTGGGCGCAGTGCTGGCGCATGGTAGCGGTGGTACGGAGCGCGTAGGTAAGGGCCACTGGGCGCACCGCCAGTTTCAAGAAGCAGAATGTGGGGTGCAGCGCGTGTGTGAGTTAGGCGGTCGGCCAACAGGGGTCCAGCAGTACCGGCTTTGAAAGAAGATGAGTATCAGTAAAGAAAAATGAAGCAAAAGAGAACAGGGTTGTACATGTAGGAGAAAAGCTGGGGACAGAAGAACATACCACCAACAATGATGAAATCGTACGACGAAGCCATTGCACGACTAAATACCAATAGTCCTGACCTCGGCTCAAAGTTTGTTGTAAATTAATTTCTAGACTAAGTGCCCACCAGCCGCGGACCTCGAAATTTATACCATTCCCCCACATCTCATACCGCCGTGTTACCCCGGCCTCTCCCTCAACCCAAGAAATCCACTTTACCCAAACTCAATCTTACGCCATCTCCATCAGGCATGTGAGCATCGTTACCGCTCACGCCCAGCATCACACGCCAGCAAAAAGACAACGCAGTGCATGTCTCATCTCTTCCATACACTCCCCCGTACATACTTCTCTCCCCTCCCCCAGCATCTCAAACAAAAAAAACCCACCCCGTCTACAAAAGACAATAGAGGCGAGCTCCTACTTACACTGGCTGTACACAACACAACCATCCCACCCGCCCGCTCCAAAAAAAATAAAAATAAAAGAGAACCCTGCATACCCTCGCACCCGCATCAGTCCATCTCCGCATTAGCGCCATTCAGTCCCATAAAAGCACATTGCTGATGTCCTGTTGAGTAAGCCAAACATAACTGGTCAGGCAGAAAAACAGACGCATAGCAATAGTTACACTGCATGCATGGCGCTAGGTAGAAGTATATGATTTTCCCGTCGGGCGGTACCCGATTTGGGGGGGGGGGAGAAAGAGAGACAGAGAGAGGGGGGGTGGAGGTATTTTTGGGGGGATTCGGTGATGAGATTCGGGAGATGGAGCTAGAATGGGAAGGGGATTATGGCTGGAGGGGGTTCGGGTATGGGCGCGGGTACGGCTACCGGAGGAGATGTGTCGGATGGGAAGAGGGGCAAGAGTGGGGGGTGGGGTAAGGGTTGGATACGGAGGGTACTAGGCTGGAATAGAGGGGGCGGGGGGTTTTCAGGGTCTGTGATATCTTGATATTTTTTTTCTCTCTACTCTATGTATATATAATCATGCATGAATCCTGTTGTGTACAGTGTATTCTATAAGTCTATTCTCATATCGCTGTCATCTTCCGTTGCAATGCTCGCACGCTGTGAGAAGAAAGGCTCTTCTTCCCTAGCTTGAAATAGCTTTTTTTTTCATGCAAATCTCAAGACCATCCCTCACATCTAGTTTACTTTAGTCAAGTACCTCAATTAGCTCCGAAGCGAGGGCAAGGCTATTTAGTCATCCGCATGCTTACCCATTGCGACTCGTGGTTCATCGGCACAAGGGCCCTCGATAAGCGATTACCTATCAAACGAACCCAACCCATTGCTTCCCCCCCCCTCCCACTAGTAGTCCGGTAGCAGTAGTATAAAAATACTGACCCACAATCCATGCACATCTTTCCACAGAAAATGCAGTATCCCCCTTCTATCTCTTTCGATAAAAGGTAAAGATTTTCCTCGAAGCAACGCATGGTACCTCGCGTATGCGTACCTCGGTCCCCACATGTGCAGCCCGCGGCGGCGGAGTTCGCATCGCAACCACTAGCCACGTGCGAATAATCTATTGGGCGCAAAAATAACACGATGTTCATCAAATTGGTGTCTTTACTTTCTCGGGTATCTGAGGTGGAACCGGTGGTTCCTCGGTGGAAACCCTCATGACTTCGTTTTGCGTAATCATGGTGGACATTAAACTCGCGGGTATGCTGTTGCGCAGCCAGTCTGGTTTCCTAAATATCTTTTTTCCTACAGGAGTTGCGTGGGCATTTTCTGCTGGAGCGCCTTCTGCTGGAGAGCCTTGCTCTGCGTCCCAGACGCCGATTCTGCCTCTCTCGGAGCCTCCGCTGGGTTGGCGACCGCCGTTTGTCGCTAAGCTGCGGTGGTGGAGGGGAGAAAAGTGAGGGAACTTTCGGGCTATGAGGGCGCGGAGATCAGGAAGTGAGGCGGCAATTATGGCGAAGGAGATTTGGATGGAGATAAGAATGTTGACCGCGGAGCCAAAATACTGCATGTTGCTTTCTCTGCGCTTGATGAAGGGGATCTGGAGGAGGGCGACTACGCAGACGGTGAAGCCGAGGCCGAATATCACGACGAGACCGAGGCGCTGGCGGAGTTTCAGCTTGGAGAGCTGCCAGACATATACGATTGGGAGAGCGAATATCATGCTGTCAATGATGCTGTCACCGATGGCTGCGGAGTAGCTATATACGGCGGAACTGAAACATTGCGACCCAGTGAAGTCGAGCCAGTCGTCGGTCCAAAGCTTGCTGATGTTTTCACAGTATACAATGAGTACGGTAAGGACCTCGATGAAGAGTGCAAGGGCCATGGCAAGAAGAATGTAACAACATTTTCGGAGCGATGCCATCCCAAGCGGGAAGATGCGCAGATAGTATGCAAGGACTGAAAACCGAGTAAAGGTAACAGCGAAGAGGTAAGCGATACGTCTTTCGAAGATGTGCTGCTGAGTGTTAACGTGATAGTTTGAAATCTAGCACGAGTCATACCTGATAATATGGTACTTCTGATGTTCGATCAGGGCTATCAAAACGATCAGCATGACTCGCCACACCATTAGCTGGTGTAGACGGACCCTTTTCTATCATAGCCCCAGTTATCCTCTGCACTCATACATGATATGACAGTGCGTGCAAAAGCAGCTCCCTGGTTTGCTGTTAGCAACGGCGACGTAGTAATGTAATTTGGATTCTTCGGCACGACTCGAACATACAGTGCCTAGCAGTATCAAAATATCATCTGCGGCAAGCCTTTTCTTGATAGCTAATCTTGAATAAACTCTGAGAACCACAGTGCTGATTGCTAACACCATCAAAGGCACTTCGACAGCCAGCGCTGTTCGGAAGCTATTTGTTGCATCTCCGGCGTCCACATTGACAATTGGCTGTGTGATAGTTGGGTGAAATTCCGTCCCCTCCAATGCAATCGGCATGCTGTAAATGTGTGGGTATTGGAGTAGTAAAACAAAGTTCAGATTAGTCGGCGTGGCCTAGCACTAGGTGCAGAGGAGAGGGGCGTCACATTGAGAGTAAGGCTAATCGTGAAGAGAAAGAAGACACCTCACCAAAGCATGCTGATGCTGATGCTGATTATGATGCTCTTCCAGTACCGCCAAGGCAGTGACTGCTCTGTATCCGCTGACACGCCTCCGGCGGCTTACTGAGCGACGAGCGTAAGCCGCTCCACCAATAATAATTCAGCGTCGTTCCTGCGCCAATACCAAGCATTGGCAAAGGTGCTGACATGCTTCTTCGATCGTCTAGTAAGGCGGGAATGATTGAAGTGATATCATGAGGTGCAGTCTTGAAAAAAAATGATGTATTTGAAACAGAACTGAAGGCCTTTTTTTATCGAGAGATGAAACCAGCATGTTGTATGTCCTGTGCTGACTTTGAAAACCACGTTGTGAAACCCTCAAATTTGGCTTGGTTGTTGGATGCTTTAGCCTAAAAGATGCCTTCAACTTTATCTGATTGGTCAAAATCATATGCATTTCCGTACGATCTGTTCAAGTAATTCTTGAGCAGCTGTTCACTGGGAATGTATTGTGCAGCGATATCCAGACCTGTCTTTTCGGGCAAGAGTTGTTCGGCAAGCTCTTCGGCAAACTCGACTTGCATAGCATTGCGGTACCAAGGCGCGAAATGGACTATAAATAGTGAGATTGGCAACATGTTGCATATAAGCAGAAAACTTACTCATAGCGAGCATTACTCTGGGATCGGTAGTCAGATTGGGCTTTCCTCCGTGCCAGAGTCTCAAGTCCCGTATGATGATGCTGCCTTTCTTGACGATTGGTTGCGAGGGTGGCCTAACTTGCCGACGATCGTCCAGCAGATGTTCCTTGATTCTGCCGCTAGCACGGTCACCGTGTTCGCCTTCTTGATCGGCAATAGTGGTATTGTTGTGTGTCCCGAGCCATATTTCAGTAGAACCATTCTCGGGAGTCATGGTGACTAGGGGAACATTGATGACAAGAGCAAATGGGATAGAGGGATGGTCGAAATCCGCGTCGTTGTGAGTCGGCTGGGACGCGGGTGGTGATGTTTCGGTAGGGGGCAGAGCTGTATTGCCGGACATGAATCGCAAAGAAGGTCTGGGTCCGAGTTTGGTTGATGTTACTTGAGTGACAATTGGATCTACAATGTGCCATGAGTTTTTGGTCATGCAGCTGTCCTGCTGAAATACAGAAACTTACTGATGTATATTTCGTTGCTGAACCACTCTTCCGTCATGGGCGGGTCCTGCTGGATATTGCCCTTGTTGTAATTGAAGGGGCTATCCTTCCTCGCCTGCAGCTCATATGCATCTTGGACCATCTTCTTATTCAAGCGGTCCAAGACGGCATGGTCGACCATATCCTCCAAGACGACGAGACCGTCACGTGCAAGAGCACGAATTGCGATTTCGAGATTGCGTTGGTTGAGTGCACCATTCTTGATCTCGGATGCTGAGGGGACAACGGAGATGGGAGTCGAGGAAAGAGTAGGAGCCATGATTGAGATGAGAGTGTGAAGGCAAACAGGTTAGACGAGTGTATGTATAGCCAGTATCAACAGCAAGTCGCGAATTTATATAGACTCGAACTGATTGGGAATACCATCGTGATGCTCATGGGATGGCGGAATACACGTAATGGGACTAGAGGGGCGCTAGTCCAGTTGCAGCACAGCAACCGGTTTTGTGGATACCAAGTGCGGGGTGCTCCCAGCTCGAGTGTCGGAAGAGCAAGACTGGGGCAGCAGACAACGGACGCGTTCCCGACAGTTGAAGGTGTAGTTTAGAGGGAGGAACTCCATCAAGTAGAAGATCCGGTGTACTGTCGACTGCTTGCAGACATGGGTGGCACGACAGCAGTTTGGGCGAGAGAGAATCATGTCAATTGACGGCATTGGTTGCATTTGCTCTGCCCTGCCCTGGTCTCTGCAAACCACACGCGCTGTCACGGGCTGCTAGGATAGCCGGATCCGTAGCCACGGCTAGTCAGGGGACAGGCGGGCTGAGGCCTAGGCTGTTGGAGCAAAAGCGGGAAAAGCGCAGTGGATGATCGACTTCGTACTGCGGACCGAGGTACCGTAGGTTGCGTGTGCCAGACTCCCGTCGCATGGCCTGGTGCTGACAGCGCAAAGAAGATGCGTAGTATTACACACAGCAAGCCTTGCGCTCGAGACTCGGCATCTTACGGTGCTTACGTCAGGCGCTTTGGTGTTTCCTAGGGTCTCAAACAAGGACGACAGAGGTTGCGCACACGTTGGGGGCGCAGACAGCAGTGTCGTTGTCGCACAGGATGCATGGTGTTGGTTGGGCAGGCAAGTAGCGCGATGGCAGGACAGGTAAGGATCGATGAGGCCAGGGCCACCTCATCTCGTCTCCGCATTTGTTCCAAACACAGCGCCAAACAGCTGCCACCGCGCTCTCCCAACTCCACACGCTTAGATACGGCCGTGGCCCACAGCGCATTCAACGGGTGCTTCCTTTTTTTCTCGCACACACACAATTGCGCCCCGGTTTGATACTCCTGCCTATTGTTGTCGTTGTTAGCACAGCACGCATCTGGCCCCTCCCCATTGGCTATTGCGGCGCCCAGCAGCAGCACCACCTCAGGCATCACACATCCACCCTGACAATCATACTACACCAACACTGGCCCACCTGCCAGATCCGACACAACACCAGACCATTGGTATTCGATAGTCTCCCCATCGCATAGCAATCGCACCACTTCACCCATCCCTCGGCGCACAACATACCACGCGACCCAGACGAGTAACGTCATCTACGCCACCATGCCGTCACAGCGTCGCATGAGGCTGTCTGTCATCCTCATCATCGTCACAATCACCGTGCTCTTCTACATGTCAAGAGGAGCCCGCCAGACCACATCGTCCGACTTCTTCACAAAAACGCAGCAGGCGCTGCAGGAGAAGGAGTATGCAGAAGCCGTAAAACAGCGCGATGCAGAGAGTGTTGGCTCGCGCCTCAAGGCCGCCGAGGACCAGGCCAAGAAGCATGCCGACGACAAGTACGCCAAAGTCAAGGCCGGCGTTGAAGGCCCAGACAAGAAGGGTGTAGCAGGCCGCGTCAAGATGGATGGCGACAGAGTACCGGGTGTTGCCCAACAAGGCGGCAGGCCTCGCGACCAGGCAGCCATGATGGAGCACGAGACCCCCGAGGACCACGAAGTCGAGATGGAGCTCAATGCCATCTTGAAGAAGAGCCCGAGTATGTTGAAGATACGTCAACCCCCCCTGTGCGCAGTTACTAACCTCTTACAGTGATCATCTTTTCAAAGTCCTACTGCCCCCACTCGAAGAAGGCAAAGCACATTCTGCTTGAAAAATACAACATTGTTCCTAGGCCCTACGTTGTCGAGCTGGATCTCAACCCTATGGGCGAGAAACTACAAGCGTTCCTACACAAATCCACTGGCCGCAGAACAGTTCCCAACGTATTGCTCATGGGCAAGAGCATTGGAGGCGGCGACGAAATGCAGGAGCTTGACGAGACTGACGCCCTTGTAACAAAGGTCCGGGAGATGGGCGGCAGCCGTGTCACCGAGGTCGAGCATCGCGGTGCTCGTCCACAGGCAAAGCGCCAACGGAGGTCAGCGTAAACCCTAGTGTGCTTGCTCCGTCATCTGTTTTGTCATGTATCTATCAACTGTATGTTTTGGCGGCGTCTTCCAGTGTCGGAGTGCTGCATGGAGCACATCAGGATGGGCGTGGAATGTTTTGTATACCCCTATGCATCTCGATTGGCGCGATACCTATGGGCCCACTTGTGGTCCGTCTGGTGTGGTGGATATACCCTCTATAGTTTCATTTGATGTTGTGTTCCTTCATTCTCTATCGTTTTCGCATGGTTCCAAATGCTGCTTTCACTTACTTCAGTGATTGACATAACTCACAGTCATTGAGCTTTGAGGAAAGCGCGCCCTCACCTCCCCCCACCTTCACTTACCCAACGCCGAAGCGGCGACACTTAAGATGCCATCTTGGTCTCACATTTTGACCACCCACTGCTATACTAGTTCGCGTTAACACTGCCAGTTTTCGATCGGACACTCGCCACAGCGGTTCACTGGCGGCCCCACAAGCCCTTCACAAACATGTGTCTCTACTGGAAGAAGATGCATACGTGCGGTCACCTTTCCGATCGTCCTTATATCGAGATGTGTCGTCCAGGACTCCTCTCCGACAATGTCTGTCTTGACATCAAGGACGACGAGCAGTACCGTCCGTCGCACTTCCCATGCTACCTCTGCATCAGAGCCGAAGCACGTGCCGAAATCGAGGCTCAAGTCCGTTCTGACCAAGAAGCCATTGCCAAGGCCCGCCAGGCTCGTGAGAATGCGGTCAAGGAGAAGGTAGCTGCCGAAATGAGGGCAAAAGAGGAGCGTGTTCGACGCGAGGCTCGCGAGAAGGCTGCTAGAGAACGAGAAGCAGAGCAGCGGGCGAAGCAAGAGAAAGAAGAAGACGAAATCAGAGCTAAGAGAGAGGGCGGTCCGTGGATCGAGACTTCGGGAGGCAAAAAGTTCAAGGGGAAAAGGAATGCTGGTAGCAGTGGTACCACGGGCAGTCCTACAAGACTCTTGACCTCGTTGTCAGTCGCAAAGATGGCCACTGGGCCCAAGAACACAAAGGACAATGGCACTGGCAACGGCGACGGTGGGGAGTCGATGGGTCCCAAGACAGTCAGTGTGGACATGGGCGGCAGGGCGGGGGTTTGGGGCCCTAAGAAGATCTTGACGAGGCAGGAGAATGATGTCGGCACCGGCTCCGAGGTGAAGAGGTGAGGCGCTTCTTCAAGATGCAAAAGCCGCGCTTTGCAAAATCAGAGCAAGCCCATCGGAAACTCTTCTCCAAGCACGCTCTGGGTGGAGGCAGTGGATGAGTTAGATGATGGCATAGGTGGCTTGCTGGTGTCCGGGTTGAGAATGCATGGTTCATGGGGGAAAGCAGCTGGATATGTAGATACTGTATGTATTTGCACATGGAAGATGGATGCTGGTAACCCGAAAACTTGGTCCATGGTCGAATTAAGTGGGTTGTAATACGGACAGCACGATGGCTGAGATGGCGAGATGACAGCTGCGACAGGGGAGCAGGGCTAAAAGACAGGCTCTCGAATCGTGACGTGCAAATCGGCGGATGGTGCGGAAGAGGGCGACACGATAGGCAAAGACGATTGGCGACTAGTAAGGCAAACGGCTGCAAACCACTGCAAACCATGGCACCGGCCTGCGCCGGCTGCAACACGTCGAGAATGTCATGATATCAGATGCCAAGGCACGCAGATATTACTGACGCCCAATTTAGGCCCAGCTGCCACTTACAGACATGTGTAGTTGCAGGGGGACTGGATAATACGTAGTAGTGGCTAGTAGGAGAAAGGCGCTGGGAAAGGTGCGCAGACCGGTTCGAGACACGCTGCCGTGTTCTGGTTGCTAGGTGACCGGGGGGGTGGAGCGTCTATGCGGTACACCAAGGTCCAAGTATACCTACAACACACTGTCGAGTGCATATGCTCAGACAACGCGCCCACTTTTTGACACGACAGCAACGATTACGCGAAGTCGTATATACGCAAAAGAGGACTAGCAGCCGGTGACGAAGAATTCGCGCAGGCGCATACACTTACCGCAGGCCGTGTTGCGACTCTGGGCGGCAGTAGCCTCCCCAACCTCCCCTCCCCAGTACCAGCCACCGACCCGCAGGCTCCCCCAACCTCACGCATATTCCAAGTGTACCTTTTTCTTTGCCCCGACCTGCTTCCTTCTCCTGCACAATTACATACTCCCTACCACTGCACTTTGGCTTTGTTCAAACATATTGCTGACTTTCTTTTTGTTTCTTTTTCGCAAGAGACAGGCCATCCACTGCTGCAGGAAGCCAGTCATCCTACGTACACCTAGTCGTCCGGGTCTGGACAGCACGCTAGCCAACAGGCCGACCCCGCAGCTACCCACGCATTCACCGCCCCGACAGCCCACGGCGAGTATAGTATCGCGCCGCAGCACCAGCACCAGCCTGTCGCTCTTCTTCTTCTTTCTGCAGACGCATCTCCTCCAGTTCCATCCAATCGCCGCCTCGTTTGCCGGCCGTTTGGTACAGTCGATCGCTACCATGCACCTCTTCACTATGCCTTCCGCCATGCTCACTCTGGCTGCATTCGCATATCTGCCAGCCGCCCTTGCAAAGCCTTATCCTCCACTCCACTTTCAAGACTTGGAAAATTACCACAACTCGTCCCAGTCTATCGAAAAACGAGCCTGCGATGGAGTTCCCTGCGGTTACGGCGGCTGGCTATGCTGCCCTTCAGGCTCCACCTGCTACACCGATGCGCAGAACCAGGCGCAATGCGGCGGCGCTGGCAATGCCAGCCCACAGGGAACAGGAGGCGTCTGGGAGTACCACACCACCACTTATGTCGAGACGGTCGGACTCCTCACAAAGACTGAGGTCTTTAGCACTTACGTCCCTGCGACTGCGACACAGACTTGCAAGGACTCGCAAAATCCATGTGGCTCCACTTGCTGCGACTCGGGATTCTACTGCCTCACTGCCGGCCAATGCGCTCTGATTGCTGGTGGAAGCTCTGGAGGTATTTCACCCTCCGCTCCTCTACGACCCACTGGCTCAGGCGTTGTTATAGTCACCTACACTGGCACCCCAACCGCGACAGTTCCCTTCCAAACTCCAATTCCCACTGGCGCAGCCGGCAACGACCTCGTTCCCACTGAGGGTCAGGACAGCGGTCTCAGCGGTGGTGCCATTGCCGGTATCGTCATTGGTGTCATTCTGGGTGTTTTGCTGCTCCTTCTGTTGTGCCTTTTCTGCTGCGCCCGCGCCCTCTTCGACACTCTTCTCGCCATCTTTGGTTTCGGCAAGAAGCGCAAGCACAGCCACGAGGAAACCTACATCGAAGAGCACCACCACAGCGGAGGCGCAGCTGGCGGACGCTGGTACGGCGCAGGTCGTCCTGCTCGTCCCTCGCGCGCTGGTTCAGAGAAGCACAGTGGCGCAAAGAAGGGTCTCGGCATTGCCGCTGGTCTTGGTGGCCTGGCGCTTGCACTGGGTCTGAAGAAACACCAGGACCACAAGGCGGACGACAAGAGCACGACTGTCAGCGGAACATCATACATGTACAGCGACTACACGAGTACAAGTAAGTGACCAATTATTTCTACAAATCAATCCTCGAGTAATATTCTAACAACCACCCAGGCAGCGCAAGCTCATCAGACCGACACACTCGCCGAACACGACACTCGTCAAGGCGGTAATCTCGTCGTCTTATTCAAGCTTCCCGCAGGAATACTTGAACTGTACAAAGTCACATGTTTTTTTCTTCCTTTCGCGCCGTCTAGTCCGCTACTAGATGCAATGTTTTATGAGCATGCTACCGGTTTATCTTTTGATAAGAAAAGGAGGGTTATCAGGCTCGCCTGCATAGAGCCTTACCGACTGGCGTTTATTTTGGGAGTAAAGGCGTTTTAGCGTGCGAGCTTTTACTACGCTGCGATAGCGATGAGTCATGTTTTTTTATTCCGTTTTTCTTTTTCAGTTACACGACGATGGAGAAGATGGGCGTTGAACCGCTTAATGAAGTATGCGTGTGGACGAGACGCAAGGAATATGAGATTATGGATACGGAAGATACGTACATGGATTGAACGAAAACATGAGCCCTCGATTAGGGGTGTAACTATGAAAAACAATTCCTTCACAAAAGTTATTTTAATGACGTGATTATGGCTGTGGTGAATCTTGGAGCATGTTCTAGCTGTATGACTCTACGGAATTTGAAAGAAACAATACAGTGGCGGAAAAAGCTAATTGCAAATGGCGCGACTACGAGAGTATGTAAGCTAGAATTGCAAACGGGGCTGATTGATGATTGCATGTGCCAAGACCAAAGTGGGATGGCGCTACTGTGGAGCTCTTACCCTCTCGATTTGACAGGTACTCACGTAATAACTACTGCCGCCTGCTGCTTCTCCAGCAGATTTCTTTCCTCCTGTTTACATCATCTTACTCAACAATAAGACAAGCCAGTTGATCTAGTTTGTCTGCGTCCCACGACCAAAAACACCACACAGCTTGCTACCCCGCGATAGTCAAGGCGCCCGCGATTGCCACACCGGACAGCTGCTAAGCTTCTCAATAGTCGGCAAACTGGGGAAGAGGCAACAGAACGACGAGGACGCTCGTCCCAGCAAGAAAGAAAAGGCTATGACAGTAAGCTTCCCTGCGTCCTCGAACCAGGACACCCCGCGCGTCTACAACCGCTGTCGGCTTCGTCACTTCGAAACACGCTTGATCGAAAGCTAACATCGAACAGGAAAAGATGCAGGTCGATAGTCCCGCCACTGCCGTTGAGCAGCTCAAGGAAGCCTCTGGAAACAGTGGCGACATTGACGAGTCCCTATACAGCAGACAGCTGTACGTGCTGGGCCACGAGGCCATGAAGCGCATGGGTTCGTCCAATGTCCTTGTCGCTGGTCTGCGAGGCCTTGGTGTAGAGATTGCGAAGAACATTGCTCTTGCCGGAGTCAAATCGTTGACGCTTTACGACCCCAAGCCCGCCGCTCTCGCCGATCTATCGTCACAGTTCTTCCTTACCCCCGACGACGTAGGAAAGCCGCGCGCCTCCGTTACCGTGCCCCGCGTTTCCGAACTAAACCCATACACACCCGTCCAGGAGTTCAGCGGGAAAGACCTGACGTCAGATCTATCGCAGTTGAAGCAGTTCCAGGTTGTAGTGCTCACGGATACCCCGCTAGATGACCAGGTCAAGATCGCCGACTACTGCCATGACAACGGTATCTACATTGTTATCACGGATACGTTTGGTCTGTTCGGTACCATTTTCACCGATTTCGGAAAGAACTTCACTGTTGGCGATCCCACTGGTGAGAACGTGACCAATGGCATCATTGCTGGCATTGACGAGGAGGGCATTGTATCGGCATTGGATGAGACAAGGCATGGTCTTGAAGATGGCGATTGGGTCACCTTTTCCGAAGTTGAGGGAATGGAGGCTCTGAACGGCTGTGCGCCTCGCAAGATTGAGGTCAAGGGACCTTATACCTTCTCGATTGGCGACGTGTCAGGGCTGGGAGAGTACAAGAGGGGAGGCCAGTTTATCCAGGTCAAGATGCCCAAGATTCTTAACTTTGAGCCATTCAGCAAGCAGCTGAAGAAGCCCGAACTTCTCATTTCCGATTTCGCAAAGTTCGACCGACCACAACAACTGCACGTTGGCATTCAAGCTCTCCACAAGTTTGCAAAACTTCACAAGGGCGAGTTCCCGCGCCCTCACCACGAGGCTGATGCGACGGAGCTATTCAAGATTGCACAGGAGATTGCAGGCGAAGGTGAAGAGAAGGTCGAGCTGGACGAGAAGCTCATCAAGGAACTCAGTTACCAGGCTCGTGGTGACCTCAGCCCTGTCGCTGCCTTCTTCGGTGGAATGGCTGCCCAGGAAGTATTGAAGTCTGTGTCTGGAAAGTTCCACCCCATTGTGCAGTTCCTCTACTTCGATTCCCTAGAGTCGCTCCCTACCTCCACAACCCGTTCGGAGGAGCAGTGCGCTCCGATTGGTTCGCGATATGACGGTCAGATTGCGGTACTGGGTCAGGAATACCAGAAGAAGCTCAGTAATGTCAAGCAGTTCCTGGTCGGTGCAGGTGCCATTGGTTGTGAAATGCTCAAGAACTGGGCTATGATGGGCCTAGCTACTGGTCCTGAGGGTAAGATTACTGTAACCGACAACGACCAGATTGAGAAGAGCAATCTCAACCGCCAGTTCTTGTTCCGTCCTGCAGATGTCGGCAAGCTAAAGAGCGATGCTGCTGCAAAGGCAGTACAGGTTATGAACCCAGATCTCAAGGGAAAGATTGTTACTCTGCAAGACAAGGTCGGCCCCGAAACCGAGCACATCTTCAACGAGGATTTCTGGAATTCGCTAGATGGCGTGACGAATGCGCTCGACAACGTGGAAGCGCGCACATATGTCGACCGACGATGCGTCTTCTTCCGCAAGCCTCTGCTCGACAGCGGCACTCTTGGTACCAAGGGCAACACGCAGGTTGTTCTGCCATTCATTACCGAGTCCTACTCTTCATCACAGGACCCACCGGAGAAGTCATTCCCTATGTGCACATTGAGGAGTTTCCCCAACCGAATCGAGCATACGATTGCGTGGGCGCGAGAGTCATTCGATTCGCTGTTTGTTAAGGGACCCGAGATTGTCAACTTGTACTTGACGCAGCCCGATTACCTCGGTGCTTCATTGAAGCAATCTGGAAACGAGAAGCAGACTCTGGAGACTCTCCGAGATTTCTTGGTGACTGAGAAGCCACTGACTTTTGATGACTGCATCATCTGGGCGCGCCACCAGTTCGAGAAGAACTACAACCACGCAATCGCGCAGTTACTTTACAACTTCCCCAAGGACTCCAAGACTGGATCTGGCCAGCCATTCTGGTCAGGACCAAAGCGTGCGCCCGACCCAACCAAGTTTGACCCTTCAAACCCCACCCACTTCACCTACGTTGAAGCCGCCGCCACTCTGCACGCCTTCAACTATGGCATCAAGCCGAATGCATCTCGAGAGCACTACGTGGAGGTACTCAACGATATGATCGTTCCCGACTTCCAGCCCGATCCTACTGTGAAGATCCAGGCGGATGAGAAGGAGCCGGATCCAAATGCCAACCAGGCTGGTGGAGATGACAATGATGTTCTCAACAAGATCATCAGCCAGCTTCCAGACCCGAAGTCTTTGGCTGGATTTAGGCTTGAGCCTGTTGAGTTTGAGAAGGATGATGACACCAACCATCACATTGACTTCATCACCGCTGCTAGCAATCTACGTGCAGAGAACTACAAGATTGAGCAGGCGGACCGCCACAAGACCAAGTTTATTGCTGGCAAGATTATTCCTGCTATTGCTACAACGACAGCACTTGTAACTGGTCTTGTCAACCTCGAGCTCTACAAGATCATTGACGGCAAGAAGGACATTGAGCAGTACAAGAACGGTTTCATCAACCTGGCGCTGCCCTTCTTTGGCTTCAGTGAGCCAATAGCAAGCCCTAAGGGAACATACCAAGGACACGATGGTGAAGTGACGATTGACAAGCTGTGGGACCGCTTTGAGGTGGATGACATCACGCTCAAGGAGTTTGTTGACCACTTTGAGAAGAAGGGCTTGTCAATTCAGATGATCAGCTCGGGCGTCAGCTTGCTGTACGCATCATTCTACCCTCCTTCGAAGCTGAAGGATCGCATGCCTCTGAAGTAAGTTGCTTATGTCTCTCATATGATATCAAATGCTAATAGTGTGAATAGAATGAGCAAGCTGGTGGAGCACGTTAGCAAGAAGCCGATCCCCGACCATCAGAAGAACGTCATCTTCGAGATAACGGCCGAGGACCAGAAGGAGGAAGATGTAGAAATACCATACGTGATGGTCAAACTCCAGTAGGGGTTGATTCGTGATGAGAAGGACTTTGGACTTGTTCGAAAGGCTGGATTCAGACGATGACAAGAAGTACTAGATCAGCATAGTTTGCATGAATAGATGTTATCCCACAAGCATCAAGATATTTTCTCGTGGCAAAAGAAAATGTGATTGACATAGGTGTGATTTGTTAGTTATGGCGTTGTAGTCATTGGTGCCGAAAGTCGGAAGAGGGTGGGGCAAGAATGCCAAGAGTAGCAGCTAGCAGCGGCGACGCGGAGGTTGATTATCAAGCGTGTCGAGGATGTTTGTCGAGCACGCAACAATGTAGACTTTACCTGCACGCAAGCCCTACAACTATAATGGCGCCGTCACTGGAAGAGCCTGTACAAGTGGACTTTGAAGCGCCTCTCAAAGCAGCACCCCAGCTGGTTGCGCCTGAGCCGGGTAGGTTTGCCCCGCCACCGCAGGCGACTCAGAAGAGCACACGACTAACACATGGCTCACAGAACACTGCCCTGGACCAGAATCTGCCACAGCTGGTAAAGCAGACTCCTGCGCAGGATGTCCCAACCAAGCAATATGCGCCTCTGCGCCCAAAGGCCCTGACCCAGACATTCCCCTCATCACAGCACGACTTGCCTCTGTCAAACACAAGATCCTAGTACTCTCAGGCAAAGGCGGAGTAGGGAAGTCGACTTTTAGCACCATGCTCTCCCACGGTTTCGCATCGAATCCTCAATCCACAGTCGGTCTCATGGACACGGACATTTGCGGGCCCAGCATACCCAAGATGATGGGCGTAGAAGAAGAAACAATACACGTTAGCGGCGAAGGATGGGAGCCCGTCTGGGTCAGCGAGAACCTAGGTGTCATGAGTGTACAGTTTATGCTGCCGAATCGCGACGACGCGGTTATCTGGCGGGGCGCAAAGAAGAATGGACTCATTAAAAAGTTTCTGATGGACGTTGCGTGGGGGGAACTGGATTTCCTCATCGTTGATACGCCCCCCGGCACGTCTGATGAACATCTATCGGTGAATTCGTTCCTCAAAGCCTCGGGTGTTGATGGCGCGGTTCTCGTGTCTACACCTCAAGAAGTTGCGCTGCTGGATGTACGCAAGGAGATTGATTTTTGCCGAAAGGCGGGAATACGCGTGTTGGGTATTGTGGAGAATATGAGCGGGTTTGTGTGTCCTGGGTGTAAGCATGAAAGTCAGATTTTCAGGGCAAGCACAGGGGGCGCGGAGCGGTTGGCGAAAGATGAGGGGATTCCATATCTAGGGGCAGTGCCCCTCGATCCGCGGATTGGCATGGCGTGTGATTTTGGAGAGAGCTTTTTGACGGCGTACCCTGATAGTCCGGCGTGTAAAGCTATTCAGGAGGTGGTGAGGCGGGTGGGTCAGGAGATGGGGTTGAAGCCTGAGGATGTGTTGTCTGTGGAGGAAGAGGCAGCGTGAGGATAATCCAGATATGATAAACGTATAGTAGTTTAAACATGTCTAATCAAGCACATCAATGGCTTGCATGTTGTGTCGATCCGGGCCCAGCAGGCAGCAGTTGAACCGTGCAATGGACATCCCCGTATGTGTGTGTGTGTGTGGCGCTGACGAAACAGTTCACGCAAGCATGGGTGATCGCTATTTCACCCAAAACACAAGCGTGTGTACCAACGTGGACGTGTAGGGTGGGAAATACGAACAACAGCCCCTGTGGTTGCGAATACATTTCTTTAGGATAGAGCGTATGTTGCTCTGACTTTTACCTAGATATAGGCTCTTGAACTTAGTAAAGTAAATTAATTTCCTTTTGTATTCTTATTATTTTTCTCCTACTTTTAACTCTCTCTCTCTCTGTCTGTCTCTTAGGATTGTACATATATAAAAATATAAAGTTGAAAGATTTTTTTTCTAAGAAGACCTTTTCTTTTCTTTTTTCTTAAGGTAAATTTATAACTTTAACGAGTTATGTTTTGGCGAAAAGTGAGGGCAACGTGGGTCTGCCCTACACACATACAAACACATTTCTCCCCTTGCAGCAAAGGGGTGGCTGACAAAATGAGATTACAAAGTGGGATCTTTGCCAGCCACAGACACACACACACACAAGCCACTCCAAGCTGCGTCATTTTGGGATAAGCGCCAGTGCATGGGGTGGCTGTGTAGTTTTCTTAGCGTGTCTGCAACTCGGGAAGCTTGCTTTGGCACCCGGGGGTCATGAGCTCATCGATGTCACCCTTTTTCCCGCGCGAACTTACTAGGACTTTTTGCGCTTGTGCTTCCCCGATTATCTAGTGTATAGCGAGTGAGGGAGGAGTCGCCAGAACAAAAGAGGTGTGTCCGCCTTGTCCGGATCAGCACGTCAAAAATAAATAAATGGTCTGCCCTTTTTTTTCGTAGACTTATGTATAGCGTATATATCTTGAAAGGCAAGATCCACACTAGAGCGCGATCCACCGCGGTTGCGGTTGCGGGCACCCTATTCACCTCTTTTTTTTGTGGCTCGAGACTCGAACCAGGACTGTTCATCCCCACCCACCCCGGCTAGCGGCAGCGCATCCCTGACCCGTCCGTCTCTTGCTTGTGGCCCAGCAATCAACTGGCACAACACAACTTTCTGGTCTTTCGAGTGCTTAAGGCTTGCATACGTTTTTGGGGGCCCCCAGCCTCTCTCTCTCTTCTTCCTCCCTTTTCCTCGTTTACCATACGCGTTGTTTTGGACAGTCCACGCCATACAATACTGACGCCATACATACTTGCACTTTGTTTATTTACTAGTATTGTTTTGCGAAGAGGAGAGGTCCACTTCCACCCCCGGAACTCAATTGGACTCTTGTTCTTGCGCAAAAGGCTTTCCGTGATATTTCCCCCTTGTGTCGCGCGCGCATTGCCCCTCCCCATCTGCGCCAGACCTTTTGGCGGCTTACTAGAGTCTCTCAGCACCATTCGCAATTGTGAGTTTGGCGCCTTTTCGCGGAATTCAAGCCCCTCTTGCTGACTGACAGCCTCCAAGTGTAACGTCATAGTCTTTTTGACGCGCGTGGCGTGAGCATCTGTTTCTCGCCCTTTTATACGACTACGACTACTACGAGCCCTTTAGTCGCGACCATGGCGACCGAATACCAGCAACCTGCTTTCACGGCGTCCGCAGATGTCCAACCGCATACCGATCCCAGTGGTGTTCAAGGCATTGGCCAGGGTCCTCAGATTGTCAGCACCTCGGGTTCGCTGGATGTTGTACTCGGGCCGCTGCTGAACTATAGGCGCACCAGCAATCAGCAGGCGGGACAGCCTATATGGCATGGCAGTGTGCTGGTTGTGACCAAGCCGGGGCAGCAGGATGCAAACGGAGTACATCCGAGCCCGCAGCTTACGCTGTCACCCGCTGGTCCTGTAGACAGGTCGCTCGGCGATGTGCGGTTCAGCGTTGCAGAGAGGGTGTTTCACGGCCAAAAGTTGTATGAAGACTCCAAGAAGGCGTTTTGGCGCTTTCTCATCGACGCGCCCATGCAGCCGTTTGAGTCGAGGTGGAACTACGACATCCAGAGCCTCAAATATGTGGATGGCAGAAAGGAGGAGAAGCCCACGAGATTTGTGATTCCCTCCATCTCTCAGTCCATGCGCATCATGTTCCACTCTTGCAATGGGTTTAGTGTTGGAACCGACTTGGACGTTTGGCAGGGACCTGTGCTTTGGCATGATGTCCTGCGCATGCACGACCAGCGACCTTTCCACGTCATGATTGGTGGTGGTGACCAGATCTACAATGACGGAGTACGAGTAGATGGTCCACTGAAGCCCTGGACCGACATCTCCAATCCCCACAAGCGACGCGAATTCCCCTTTGACAGGCAGATGCGTGACGAGTGCGACGAGTACTACTACAACAACTATGTCCGGTGGTACGGCACGGCCCCCTTTTCCACTGCCAACAGCCAGATTCCTCAGGTGAACATCTGGGACGACCACGACATTATTGATGGATTTGGTTCCTACACCGATCACTTTATGAACTGCTCTGTTTTCCGCGGTATTGGAGGAGTCGCTCACAAGTACTATCTTTTGTTCCAGCACCATCTTGCTCCGCCACCGAGTACCTATACCACGGATGCTCCCCAGACGACGGCCGTACATGCTCAAGGAGAGAAGACGACGCCTGTAGATCATGCCCAGGTCCAGGATACGTTTGTAATGACCAACGATGAAGGCGACCCATCATACATTATTGGCTCCAAGCCCGGTCCCTATGTCGAGGAACGAAGCCGCAACATTTACTGCCAGCTAGGTGCACGAATTGCCTTTGCTGGTATTGATGCCCGAACAGAGCGTACAAGGCACCAGGTTAACTACCCGGAGACGTACAAGCTGCTGTTTGATCGTTTAGATGCAGAGTTTACTGCCAACCCAGAGCTCAAGCACATGATCTTGCTGCTCGGTGTTCCCATCGCGTATCCCCGTTTGATTTGGCTTGAGAACATTTTGCAGTCGCCTCTGATTGCGCCTATCAAGTTTTTGAACAAGCGCTTCGGCTTTGCTGGCGGTTTCTTCAACCAGTTTGACGGCAAGGTTGATTTGCTTGACGATCTCGACGACCATTACACGGCCCGCCAGCACAAGGAGGAGCGCAGGCAGCTCATGCACAAGTTGCAGGCCTTTTCCCAAAAGTTCTCTGCCCGAGTCACCATTCTCGGAGGAGATGTTCATCTCGGAGCCATTGGTCGCTTCTACTCCAACGCCAAACAAGGACTTCGTGCCGAGGAGGACTGGCGCTACATGCCCAACATCATCAGTTCCGCCATCACCAACAAGCCCCCACCGCAAGCCGTAGCCAACCTTCTCGCTAAACGCAACAAGATCCACCACCTCGACAAGGAAACCGACGAGACCCTCCTCGAAATCTTCGACCGCGACCCGGCCCTCCCCGACGGCGTCGTCGCAAACGGTACAAACGGCACAAACGGCACCACCGACTCCAACGGCACCAAACCTGAATCCAAAACCTCCGACTCAAACCACGCCACAATGCCCTCCCGCAACTACGCCATCATCTGCGAATCCAGCATCCCGCCCGCTGCCACCTTATCCGCGCCCGGCCCCCAACCCGGCGCCGCACCCTCCGTGCACACAAACGGCGACGCAAAATCTACCATGAGTGAAGCCCCCGGCGCAAAAGATAACATGCGCCACCCCTTCCATCTTGGTGAGCATGGAGCAGGAACGCAACATCCAGCGGCAAATGGTGTCCAGTCGTCTGGTTTGTGCGGGCCGTATGGACTCGATGTTACGCTTAGGGTGGAGATTAGTAATAAGGATAGAGAGGGACGGACGGATGGGTATGGGTTTACGATTCCTGGGCTGGTGGTTAGTGAGGCTATGAAGACGAAGGGGAGGCATTGGTAGTAGTTGGTGTGTGTGTGTGATGGAAGAAAGGAGGAGTAATATGGAAGCAGAGGGAGATGTGTAAAATGATTTTTTTTCCTTCGAATTTGCTGGTGCGTTTGAGGTGGATAGTTACATACCCTTGGAAACTAGTGCGTTGTTTGATGTATGCTAATTGATGATGTTTTGTTTTCGTTTTTGTTTTCCTGATAGGAATGGTAATGCGATGTTGGCGATATGTTTATTACTAAGCTCTCATTTGACATGTGATTGACGTCTTGACACTTCCTGGAAACAAGAATCAAATAACTCACTTTTTTTTTCTTTCAAAGTCATATATTCTAAGCTTAAATTCATGATTTCATCTTTTATTTGCTCGCTACAGAGCAAAATGCTGCGTACGCATACATATGTATATATACATGGTTCTGTATTTGTTTGGAAGTTTTGCGTTTGGAAAAAAAACAAAACATATGAGGATCCCCCCACCTTGCTTGGAAAGAGAAAGAATGGGAGGGGGGAATAACGCCTTCATCTCGACATGGTCCGTCTGCCTTGTTGAAAAGAAAAAGAAAAAGAATGATCAAGAAAGAAAGAAAGAGATATGCACGATATAAACACCCGGAAAAAAAACCCTCGATCCCAAAAAACAACAACAACATAACAGTCAGAAGAGATGGAAGAAAACAGCTTACCACGAAAAGGAATGTCTCAACCCGCCCTCCTCTCCTCCCCCAGCCTTCCTCAACGCCGCAAAAAGCGCAAGCAATTGCGCCGCCTCCATGGCACCGGCCTCTTGCCAAAAAGTCGAAGACCCCGTCTGCTGCATGGCGAGCTCATAGCACGTCTCGAGCAGCGCATTCGTCTGCTCAGGCGCATCCCTAATCCTCGCCTTCATGGCAATCGCCATAGCGAGAAAGACATGGAACCTCGCCATGGCCATGCTAACCGAGAGCTCTACAGCCGACGACGGTTGAGCATTGGGATAGACGGCTTCGCAGAATCTCGCAAAGAGTAAAGGGGAGAGGGAGTAGGCCTTGTAGTCTAGTGACTCGAGGTGGCGGATAAATTCGTTGGTGAGGGTTTCGGCTTCGAAGCGCGAAGGGAGGGGCGTGGTAGCGAGGGCGCGGCTGCGGTCTGTGTAGCTTGAGCGCGAGGATGCTGGGCCGGGGGATTCGGCGCGGCGGGCGGCGAAGATGCCTTGGCGGGGGAGACGCGGGACCGGGGCGAGGGGAAGGAGGTCGTCGTCGATTTCAGGGATGGGAGACATGGTTTGGTCGGTGCTTCCGGCCGAGAGGGAGGATGTGGATGTTTTGCGGGAGTGGGCTGGGCGGGACAGGGGAGCATTGTTGGTTGGGGGGTGGAGTTGGGAAGGCGGTAGGTGCGGGTGTGCCATGAATTCCCAAGAAGGGGCTATGTGCATTTCTCCCGAGGGTAAGGGGGAGGTTGTTGTTGGGAGTTTGCCGGAAGAGGAGTAGGAGGAGGGGGTGGTGTAGTTGGAGAGGCTGCTGGCCGAGGGTGGTGGTGGCGGCCCCGAGGGCATGGAGTCGGGAGACGAGGCACGCGTGGTACCTAACCATAATGAAGGTACTGGTGAAGACGGCGAGGAAAAGTTGGGGAAAGGCTCACATTCGTCTATGGCGATTGAGGGCATGCTGCCGCTGCGCGCGGAGAAGGCGCCCAGGTCCAGGTCGTCGGCGGTGAATGTCGCGGGGATGCTGGTGTCGAGGTTCAGATGGGATCCGGTGCTGCTGCCACCCCCGACAGACCAGTCGAATGAGGTTGGGGTGCTGGCCATGAGGTTCTGGTCAATTGACTCCATGCCGTGCATGGGGGCGTTGACATGGCGGGCTAGTTGGGCTTCAAGTTGATGTATTCGTCCTTCTAGCGCCTCTCGATGTTCACTTTATTTGTTTAAGACAAGGGTCAGCTTATTATCACGCCATTTGGTTCGTTGACAGCATCCGTCTTCCTTTTTTTTTATGGGGGAACATGTGGGGTAGACTGACGATGCCACAACCTCTTTAGGTTTCTGCGTTCTTATACACTGCACTGCAAAGCGCTTACACGTTGCGCATGGAGTCTCGCCGTCGCAACGAATCTTCCTCCTTCGACAGCGCTCGCAGGCATTGGAGACAGATTTTCTCCTGGGCTGCCAGTCCTTTACGGCCGTTGGAGAGAAGCGCGCAGGACCTTCACCAGAAGGTAGTGAAGCTTTTCTTTCTCTCAGCATAGTCTTGATGAAGGAGGGCCGCCAAGCTTACTGAAGGGGCACATGCTGGTTAGCAGTTGTAGAGCGTTCCGCGTCGGATGAGAAGGCTTCCGGATGGATTTGATCAATTGCGGTGAATGAAGAGGCGGTGATCATAAGACGGAGGCGTGAGTGGGAAGGGTACGACGGAGGACGAGATCTCGGGTTGTTTTACATCCCGCTGAGCGTAGCGATGACAGACAAGATGGCTTGACTAATCGTCTACACCTGCCGCCGTCACGATCACAAGGGACAGATACGACACGGACTTCCGACAGTTGGGGCTTCATCCAGGTCTGTAACAGGGCTGCAGCCGGCGTTGCGTGTCGCGGGTGCTGATAGGCCCCGGGCCTGCGACGGGCAGGGCTATGCGTTTCGCATCGACTTTCCCTCCGCTCGTCAATCTTCTAGAAAATGGGCCATGGGGGTGGAGATTGCAGGAACGGGGACGCGGCCGCTCTCCGCGTCTGCAGCATAACTGTCGCATGCCGCCCTCGCCCGTGGTCGTCGAGAAATGCAAAAGGGCGGAATGGACGGTCGATTCCTCCGCTGACTTGTCGCAATGCTCCTTCAGATCTACCCGCGCCATCGATTCAAGCAAAGAGAGGAGAAGGGAACTGAGGGTGGCCAGTGGGGCATCCACGACGTTACTACAATTAACCTCCCGCCGCCGATGGTCTCGCCGCGCCCCTAGCACCCTGCACGAGCGTTGGGAGAACTGCCGAACTCACAGCAAACCGTCCTTCCGTGTCGCATCCCTTTGCCTGACACATTTGTACACGACTCAGCACGTCCACAGCCCTTTCTTCACCGCGGCCAGGCGACGTTGTCTGCACAAGCCCCGTCTATCTATGCCCCGTCGCTGGCACAACCATCTGATCTGGCCCCCTCCCGTCTCCCTCATATATACTACACTACATCCTTCAGGAACATGGCGCGAGTCACCCAATCCACCTGCTATACGCGACATAGTGGGCCATTGGTCGATTGTACGCCCTTTCCGATGATTCCTCCGTCGTCAATCGCCCATCCTTCGGTGCCAACCCCGTGGTGGACGTAGAAGAGCATGCCAGCGTCGTACTTCCTCTTGATCTGCACGAGCCTCGGGTAATTGTCGCCCCAGAAAGACTGCTGCCAGTTGGGCTCCGCAATATCAGCTTCGTTGCCATACGCGCCGCCCTTTGGTGTGATTTCTCGAAGCGGCGGCATGACGGTATTGGTAATCTTCTCCACGGTCGCTTGCCATCCCGCAGGCGTCTGGTTCGCCACTGGCGTGATGACGACCATCTGGCTCTCTTCGTTCCGGAACGCGGGGTTGGCAGAGTTGAGCGTCTTGTTCTCCTGTTCGGCTGGGCGCTGATGGTACATACTGACTACTGCTCCATTATCTACAGCGTGGCGGATGGTGGCAACCGTCTGATTGCGTATCTCGGAATCCTTCCAGTTATCGGATGGCACCAGACGGTTCGCCGCGATGCCTCCAGCACCACCGATGACCCAGTCAAGGGGGGCAAACGTGGCCTGGTAAGCTGGGAGAAAACTCTCATGGTAAGTTGTATTCGCTTTCACCTCGATGCCCAGCGAAGCGCACTTCTCGTAGAAAGGCTTGATCAACTCCTCGTACTCGTCCACAGTTTTGTCGGTGGCGAAAAAAGGCCCCATGGACCACATGTAGGCGCCAGGCCCCACCGACAGGATCGTAAAGAAAGAGTAGGTTTTGGCCCTGTTGTAAGCAGGCATGCTGTCAAAGTAAAACCTAAAAGCCTCCCAAAACTTGTCGCCGCTGACAGTCTCGGATGTCATAATGGTCCAGGTGGATGTGGTCACGGGGATCTTGCGATGAACCTTGACAATGGCAGATGTAACGACGCCAAAGGTGCCGCCGCCTCCGCCTAGTAGGGCCCAATACAGATCGCTATTTACCTCTGGTGTCGCAGTAACGAAGCGCCCACTAGCCAGTACGACTTCGAGTGCGAGGACCTGATCAGAGCCGAGTCCAAAAAACTGCATCAGAGGCGAATGTCCACCACCGGCCGAGTAACCACCAGTGACACCAACTGTTGGACAGATACCAGCTACGGCAGACACACCGTATTTGTCAGCGGCCTCATACAGCTCGAATCCCTGAACACCAGCCCCGAGCTTGAAAACTGGTCCCTTATATATGGAGCTCGCATAGTCCTTGACATACTTGATTTCTTTCAGTCCATGGGTCCAGATACTGAGTGCACCTTTTCCGACCGAACGGCCGTTATAATCGTGACCGGTATTGCGAACAACTAGTCGGAGGTTCCGATTGCGAGCGAGATTTATTGCCAACTGGATTTGAGCAACGTTGCTAACTTTGACGGCATACTCTGCGTAACCGCCCTGAGTGCAAGTGCCATTTGCGGAATTGCCGGAAGCTGGAATTGGGCAAGTCATGCCATACCACAACGGATTCATGAGCGCACCATTGTCTTGGTAGCTAAGCACGTTAGTTGCACCTCGTGACGACACTGGATATACACATACTAAATCTCCTCGGTATTCCAATCCTTAACGAGCTCAGCGCATCTCGCAGCATCGTAATTGTTGTACTGGGATTGCTTATAGCAGGGCGAGCCGATGGGGACGATCTTCTCCAAAGCCCCACCGAGGAAGGAATCGAACAAATTCCATTCAGCCTTGTTTGGGTACAAAGGATCGCCTGGCATTGTTTTGCAGCGGGCAGCTTCATGGGCGCGGCGGGTGCGTGCAGACAGTTTGGAGCTTGGACTGTCTCCAAATT